TGAGAATATTCACGATCTTAACCCTTGTTCTTTTTTTGTAAGATGGCGTTGGAATTACTAAACCATTTTTAATTAAATAAAAACTATTTAATTAACTATGGCCCCACTGTCAACATAACTTTTAGCAAATTATCCATTGTCTATACTATTAGTTGCGAAGACCCTGTCTGTACTTTAAAGTAGTAATGTATGAAATGCATTCAAAATAGTAAAATACTCATTGGTTTAGTATTATACGTTATAGACGGTTAATGTAATTGTCATAGTTTAAAGTATCTTCCTTAATTGCGAATAGAACCTAATGGTTATTTGCTTATTTTTAATGGTCTCGACTTTTGCCGGGACCTGTGCCATCAACCTTTGTCATTTTTATGATCTATCTCCAGAGGGCGCTATCTATGGACTTGTCCATGATCTTCAAGATCAACAGATGGCGCACATCGCAACTAATGAGATAGACCAAGTATTTATGTTTTCTTTGATAATCTACTGAATTTAAACTTGAATTAAATCAAATGAACTGACCATTAGTAATATTACGACAACGAGAAGTAACTTGCATCCAGGTAACAACAAAATGAAAGGCAAAAACAAACTGTAGCCAATCGATGGATGGATGCGTTATTGCTGGCCTGGATAAAACTTTCAGACAACTTTGCCTCCGGGCCCTTACAAAGGTCCATACCCAATGATGAACTGATGCGTTTGCGCAGGTTCAGACATTACCATTTTTTAGGGCTATTGAGGCGACGGCCCATTCATTTTATAAACCGTATTACCGTAATACTATGTATGATAATTCATATTCATATTCATAGTAAAACTACTCCGGATTGTGAGAATATTCACGATCCTAAACCTTTGTAAATAAATAAGAAGTGATTGACGGTTAAAACAAATGTTTTTATTTCAAAAAAAAACCTGACATTTCTACTCAAAATACGTACAGGCTAGTGGTTATAGTCCAAATTCGATGGTTTGGATGGTTTAATTAATTTTTCGACCGGTTTAATTAAATTCGACTCTTTTGATGACGCAAAAATAGTGGCATACCCGTATAATAGCCGAAAACATTTTCGACTGTTTGTATTCTTTGCCAATACGTATTTCGATGATTTAACAAGTCCACCAATTCTTCAGAAAAAATTCGACTCAAATCAGGTATTTGTCATTCGTTTATTTAACAGATAGTGGCAGAATTCGACTAAAACACAGAAATTGACAAAATTTAGGGTATCGACTATTTTTTGGACTGTACAAAATTCGTGTATTAAACAGATTATGACAAAATTTAGAAGAATTCTACTATTATTAGTGGCAACCAGTGAATAATAGTAGACATGTTATTTTTTACAGTTAAAATGACTTTCGACTGGAATCGGTAAGTGTTTCCTCTATTTTCTGGTTTTGGGATCGACTAATCGTCGGAATTGGTCTTTCGGTTATTCGACGCGCTCCCTTAAATTCTTTTAAATTTTAAACAGATGCAACTTATATAACTTGTTTTGTAATATTAGTCACTTGCATAGGAAGGTCAGAAACGTTAGAGGGGGAGGGCAGAAACAGAAACTAAAGCAGGCTAGGGCAGCAAAAAGTAGAATTTGAATGAAATTTAAAGAAACTTGGGAGGGAAGTGGCGATTGCCTTCTCCAATCCTGCCCCCTCCTGTTCTTAAGACTGTGATATTAGTTACGCTATATAATTCTTAATAGTTAACCACTGCTCCACTATAACATTTATAATCCGTTATAACATTTATAATGTTATAATATAATAAATATTTTTATAATATAACAATAACTATAACTGCTACAGCAAAACCACAATTAACTATAAAGAATTTCAAAACATAAAATAGTTGAATGATTTTTCCCAAATCAGTGCTTAAGGTGTTTTAAAAAAAAAAATTAAAGCAGATATTATTTTTAAGGTATTTTTTGAAACTAGTAATCTTAATGATTTTTTTCACAATTTTTAAAAAATAATTATTCAATAACAATTGTTATCATCTATATTAGCTTATTTCATAAAAAAGTCAATTTTGAATTTTTTGATCTTAAGGCGTTTTGAAAAACGGCTGTAGTATTATATGTTTTATAAATAATTATACATTAAAGCTTTGATCTGTGTCAGTAGGTCAATATTTTTGTAGGTTTAACCTACAAAAATCTCACCCTACTAAGTGGTTCTTCAAAAAGAACATCTACTATAAAGTGGAACTAATTTCCAGATAGCCTATTGAGGCCTAAATTGTTTTCAACTGATTATATTCTTTTTTGTTTTCAATGGGTTTATAATATAATATAATATAATATTTTTATAATAATTTTTTCTATTTTTCGGATATTTTAAATATTACCAGGATAATCTATCATAATACGCAAATTTTTTTGTTTTTTGAAAAAAAGACCACGGCTGTTGATATGTTTTGAAAATTTGTATACATTTTAAAAATGCGTTGAAAAAATTAACTATGAAGAAACTTTAAAAAAACTTATCATAAAAGAAGCAAGTAAATCTTCATAAAAAAAATAACAAAAAATAAAATAAAAATAACTTAACTAAAACTAAAATAAAAACATAAAATTAAAACTAAACTAAAATAAATAAACTATAACAATAAGATTATTTAAATAACGATTGGAATAGATAACTTTGAATTTTTTATCTTTACTTATGTTTTTATAATATAATATTATGTAAAACCCTTTTTAGATAAAGTGACAACTTACGTCTAACGATTGTTTAATAAATGCGTACATATAATAAAACATATGTAAACATATAATAAAACATATGTAAACATATAATAAAACATATGTAAACATCTAATAAAACATATGTAAACATCTAATAAAACATATGTAAACATATAATAAAACATATGTAAACATATAATAAAACATATGTAAACATATAATAAAACATATGTAAACATATGATAAAACATATGTAAACATATAATAAAACATATGTAAACAAAAGAAAAAATAATTAAATCATTTATTTAAAAAGTTGTTATGATTTTTTTTTATTTAAAGACATAATAAAAAATACATACTTATAAAGATAAATATAAAAAAATATATTATTCATTAATAGTTTTATAAAAAGTCATTGTCAGTGATTTGTTCTTTTATTTAAATGCGTTTCAATGATATAAAAACATAAGTAAAGATCAAGGTTATTTAATTCAAACAGCTTTCAAAAAAGTTTTTTTTTTTCTTGGCAACAAAATCTTCTTACTTTTCGAGTGAATTAACTTTAATGATTCTTATATAAAGTTAATTAAAGAGACCAACACTGTTTAAAGTCGTCGTTTATTAAATTAAAATTTTTATTTTTTTTTGTTTTAGTTATAAAAAATCTTAGATTATTGAATAATATACTTTAATTAAAATCATTAGCTACTTTATTTAATAGTGTTTTGCTAATATAAAAATGTTAGTAAACATAACCGTGTCAAAGTTATTTATTTTTAATATAATTAAAAACCATTTTTTTTAGCGCATTTGTTAAAAACCATTTTTAAATTGTCAAAATAAAATGTTATTTGCTTGGTCATATAAAAGCTTGAAATCACATGCCTTCCTGGCCAATCAACTTAAAAAAGCTAAACAACCTAAAGATACAGCAAAAAATGTTTAAAAAGTGTAACCATCACACAATAGAACTAATTTTAATTTAATTTAAAAAGCTATCTAACACTTAACTTCAATTTTTTGAAAGTCAATTAAGTATAAATATGTGTTAAAAAAATAGAAATAATGTGCAGTTAAAGATAAAATTTTAGTTTTGAGAATCATGTCCTAAAGTTTTCAAGCCTTGTTTAAAATGTCTTTAAAGCAACCTATTTATTATGATAAAAATCATGACTTGGTTATCGGAATTAAATAATGGTAAACCAGTGAACCAAGTTCTTGTATTGATAGTCCGAGGGATTATCAACAAAATGGAAACAACCAATTGCATATTTTTCAATACCATGTGTTCAATCAATTTAACCAAGATAGTAAATAATGCTATGGGTCATTTATATACAAAAGGTTTTGCTGTAAGACGTTGTTTGTGATCAAAGCTCAAGCAATATTAAAAATGATTGCATTTTACATTTTACATTTATGTAAATATATATGTATTGAAAACCATTTCATGCTTTGTTTAAACATACATACATTGTTTTTTTTTTAAATTTGTTTCAAATAATCAACATTTATCATAAAAAAATACATGATTATATAAATTAAAAAAACTATATATAATATTCATTAATACTTTATATAATTTATATTATATAATATTATAATATATACATTTAAACCATATATAATATTCACTAATAATCATTAGCATTGTTTTGATACTTCATTAAAAAGTATTTCGATAATATAAAAGCATTAAAGAGCTATTCCACGTTGTACAAAAAGTTTAATATAAATTTTAATACAAATATTTTAATTTTTTCTCTAAACAGAAGGCCTTTTATATAAAATCTTCAGCGATGATATTTATGATATATATGATATATACATATATATATATATATATATATATATATATATATATATATATATATATATATATATATATATATATATATATATATATATATATATATATATATATATATATATATATATATATATTTGAACATACTTATATATACTTGCGTACATACATATAATGGTTTAAGATGTAAGATTTATCATGACACACACAAAAGATTAACATGACTTATATTTTGTAACAACTAAACAAGCTTGACTTTTTTTGAACATATATACTTGCGTACATACATATAATAGTTTAAGATGTAAGATTTATCATGACACACACAAAAGATTAACATGACTTATATTTTGTAACAACTAAACAAGCTTTAGCACATTTTTGTTATATCAAAGCTTGTGATTAATAGGGGTTCAATTTGAATATATAGTTGTTATGCAGAATAACAATATTTTGAAGTTAATGAAAATAATAAAGTATATTTTTTACAGGCTCTTGAAAGCATGCAAGAGCGTGGGATGGAGAATGATCCTCGGTACAAACAAATGCTCAGTTTAGCACAAATGAATGGATTACCTATTGGAATAAATACTGGAGGTGAATTTTTTTCTTTTTCAAAACTGCTATAAGGTATATTATTTTGATTGATTTACAAAAATGGTCAAAGTTTAACCTAAGGTGTCTTAATTAAAAAATTTTAATGAAGTTTATATAAATTATTAGGTAACATAAAGTTTATAAATCAATAATAAAGTTGTTGTCAATCGTTATACAAACCTTTCTATTTGTAAAAGTTCAAAGTTCTGGCTTGATCAGTCCGTGAAAATTTTAAAAATTGAATGATATAAATTTGACATCTATTTTGTATCATAATTGAATGGTTTTTTTAGTTGTATGTTGATAGGTTTTCTTAACTTATACATATACAAATGTTTTTTTTTTAAATAATTTGAAAATGTTTTGTAGTTGCAACTGGTCAATCTGGAATGCAACCAATCGGATTGCAACCTCCAAATTTATTTGCTTTAATGAATCATCAACAACAGCAACAACAGCAACGAGCTGGAGTACACACAGGAAGTAGTAGTTCAGAAGATAACTTTCAACAAAGTAATCCTTTAAATCAGCCTGTTAATCCAATAACACAACAAAATGACTCAAGTTTGCTACAAAACATGCAAGCTAGTTTTAATGCACCTGGTGGAAGTAATTTAGCACGTAATAATAACACTTTTACTCCAGAGATGTTGCAGGTATTTTCTATTTTTTGTTATATGTTTTGCGATAGTAAAAGATTGTTATTGTAAAATTTGGTGTCACACTTTTATATTTCTAAAATATAAAAGTGTGACGCTTTTATATTTTAACACATTTCTAAAATATAAAAGTGTAACACTTTTATATTTTAGAAATGTGTTAAAATATATGCAATTAGTTCAGCATAAGAAGAATGAAGTATCAAGTATAATGTGATATTTCTAAGAATCTGGTTTATTTATGTTTTAAAACATAAAATATCACATTACACTTGGTACTTCATTCTTCTTATGCTGAACTAATTGCATATACTATGTGTTATTTGGTTGATTAAAAAATTTTTTAAAATATATAATTTATAAATTTGTAATTTAAATGTTACATCTATAAATTTAAATGACATCTATAAATTTGTTTATAATCTTGAAATAAATATTGTTTTGATTTCACCTGGTGAAATATTGGACATATTTTGATCTAAATGTTTGTTTCATATCCTTATTAAGAAATAAATTGATTTTAAAAATTCGATTTTATCAAATTTATTAAAAAGTTATTGTAAATTAGATTTACTGGAAGAATTTAATGTCTGATTTCTTGAGAAATTTTGAGGGGTGCAGGTAAAGTATTCAAATTTTTTTTTGGGTGTTTAAATATTTATTGTTCTTATCATAACTTGATGTATGTAAAAAGTTAGATTTAAATATAAAGTTCTTATTTAATTTTTTCAATAAAAAATGTCATGATTAGAAAATATGATTTTAAAAGATCTAGAGCGATACTTGGTGTTTTATTTCAGCACTTTTTTACAATAAAAAAGTTTGTTTTGGTAGTTATTTAAGTATTAGCAAAAAATATTTATGTTAATAAATTCTCTCTCTCTCCTCCTTCTCCTCCTCTCCCTTTTTCTCTACTAAAAGCACTCAGCTTAAACTTTAAGAAAACTATTTAGCTTTAGGTCAGACTTTTATTTATAATTATAAGTAGCTGTCCAGACCCAAATAATAGAGGTCATGGTCCAGATCCGTATAATACAGGTCATGGTCCAGACCCATATAATACAGGTCATGGTAATCTTTAGTAAATCAAATGTGTGACATTTCTTGTATTTTTTGAAATTTAAAGGTTTTTATAAAATTTTAACCCTCATGGTAAGGTCCCTCCCACCCACTCCCTACCCTTAATATTTAATGATAAGTGAGAAGAGTTTTTTTTTAATTAAAAATAATCAAGAAAAAAAAAATAGAATGGAAAATAAAAGTATATATTTACTCATATAAGTATATATGTTTATTTACAATTAGCAAAATATCAATTGTTAAGAAAAAGAAACAAAAAATATGTTTAAAAAATTTTTAAGTTTTATTTTATACCTTTATGCTTAAAAACATATTTTAACAAAATTCATTTACAATTAACGAAGCGAGAATTGTTAACAAAAAAGGAAATATATCTTTCAACAAAAAGTAAAATGATTTAAAATCATAACATAACAAAAATTTATAAAAAAAAAGTTATAAAATCTTATAACAGGTTTGAATAATCAGGTTTAAATCTCAAAAATGATTATGTAGATATATACAGATTGTTTTTATATATAAAGAAAATTTAAAAAACCATAAGGTTAAAAAAAATAAAAGGCTTTAATATTAGGCATTGTGTATCTTATAGGTTTGTGTCTCAGTTAGCAAACATAGTTGAAATAAAATCTATTTACAATTTTTTGATTGCTTTATTCTGTTATTGCTGCAAATTCAATAATGTCCTATATTCAATAATGTCCTTCAATAATTTCCTAGCAATTCGAGTGTATAATGTCCTTGGATGCAATTGGAGTGGTGAAATAGCTGTAAACTCCAAAGTTTGCTTAATATCTTGAGATAATTTTAAAATTTTCTAATTTTTACATTAAGTAATTCTAACAAAAAGGTTTTGTTTTGTATATTAAATTGTAAAATTATAATCATGATACCAGTTTAATAAATGTGTAAACTATCGAAAAGATAAGGATTCAAAATTACAGCTTAAGTATAATAACAATACTTTTATAATTTTTTAAATACTTTTACTTTTGTTTGATACTTAATACTTTTGTTAAAACATATTTAACTTTTGTTTAACCATAAATATCTTACCATAAATATCTTACCATAGTCATATTATAATATAGTATTTAGATATAAACCATCTGTTATTAATTTCGTTTTTAATTGAATGTTAATGATCATTACCCATTGTTAATACATTGTAAATAATTGAATATCTAACTATTATTAATAACCTTAAGAACTAACTAATAATAAAAATAAAACTTTCTTCCTCACTTGTTTTAGTCTGATATTGTCACTGTAGCTAGATATACGTTTAACTTTCATCAACAATTAACTATGTTGGGTATTACGGAGTGGGTATTAAGGACCCCGCTGATTTAAAATTATAATTATTGAGCATTAAAATTCTTTTAAATTTTTCAAATTTTTTTTTGATTACAAATTTCAATTGCAAAATTATTTGAATAATAGAATTTTAAAAGACTGAAATTCTTTTGTTTAAATAGATTCCTTTTTAAATAAAGTTTCTAAAAACAACTTGTGTGTTTATAGAAAATGTTTAATCTTGATATCGCTTTAAATAAAATATGAAAAAATGATAAATTAGAAAAGACATAAAAACTAACAAAAGAAAAAAAAAATTGCGAAAACATTTTTTTTAAGAAATAAGTAAGATTAAAAATGAATTTTTGAAAGCTTTTATATGTTATTAAAACACAAATTTTTTCAATTTTTCTACTATAACTATTTTATTTTATTAACATTCAGCGTGTATGCGTGTGTAAAAAGATAAAAAAATTTCAGGAAGAGGCAGGTCTCGAACCATAGACATTCTATTTAAGCTACACGCGCATATAAGTAGGAAACAAATGATATACTTTTTTTTTAAATTCTTCTTCTTTCCATATAAAAAATAAAATTAATTAAAATTAACTAAATTATTTGACTTATTGCAAAACTAATTATTGAATATTGTATTGTCATCAAGCAAGAGTAAGTATGCAAAGTTTGAAGAAAATCTATCAACAGGAAATGACTCAAAAATTGATTGCAAGATTTGATGCTCACAGACAAGCAGGCAAACAAACAGAGACAAGGAGTTAATAAAAGCTTTGGGAAAAACTAATTGCGAAGGTGTGAAAAGCAATTGGGATTCGAGCCCTGATATTACAATGAGTATAACACATTTTTTTTATAAAATTTAAAAATTTATTTAAGGTTGTATAAAATCTTCTTCATAGTAATGAATTTTTGCCAACTTTAAAAAACACTTTAATGAAGGCAAGGGATAAATACTAATTTATCAAGTTTGAAAATAGGCATTGTTGTTTAAAAAAACCAAATAAAAGCTAACTGAACATAGGCAAGAAATACCTTCTTTCAGAAAAAAACATTTGTGCAGTGCACATACCATTAATCAAGTTTAATTGCACAACAATATAAATATTTTTTATAAATACTGTATTGTATAATTAGATTACAATTTTAAAACAGTTATGGCATGTGTATATAAATATGATATGTTTATTAAAGTTATGACACATATAAAAATATGCTATGCTTAATGTTTTGATGAACTGATAAAAAATCTATGTATACTTAAGCAAAATGCTAAAGTTCTTTGCTTTTAAGCTCTTCACAAAGCTTAAATGCAAAATATACACTTTCACATAATAGACAAATATAGGTTTATAAAAACTCATTTTAATTAACTAAACAGCTATAAAAAAATTTTAGCAAATTAAATTACATAAAGTTACATAAACAGCACAACAAAATAAAACCACTTTAAATATAACAATTTAATGCAAATAGGTAACAAAATATATATAAAAAAGGCAAATTTTCTTAATGAAATAAAAATAAATTAAACCAACAGCAAAAGGCTTTCTATCAAAATTCTGTTCAGAATTACTTTTTAACATTTACTAACAACATCCTTAAAAAACAACAATTGAAAACATAGTTTATAAAAACAACAACCGACAACATCTTTACTTTATAAAAGCAACAACCAAAAACATCCTTAGTCTATAAAAATAACAACTGACAACATCCTTAGTTTATAAAAATAACAACTGACAACATCCTTAGTTTATAAAAATAACAGCTGACAACATCCTTAGTTTGTAAGAACAACAATCGACAACATTTTTAGTTTATAAAAACAACAACCGACATCATCCGTAGTTTAAAAAAAAAAAAAAAAACTGATAAATCCTTGGTTTGTGAGAACAACAATCAACAACATTTTTAGTTTATAAAAACAACAACTGACAATATTTTAGTTTATAAAAACAGCTGACAACATCCTTAGTTTGTAAAAACAACTACTGACAACATCTTTAATTTACAAAAACAACAAAATATAAAACTCATCTATTCCACTAAAAATTATGTTTCACTATATTTAGTATAATATTCTAGGTATTATACATTTGGTATATTTACATTTTATACCATTAAAGTTCTTCATTCAAAATAAAATTCAAAATTTAAAATGATTTAATTCTTACAGTTTAGTATATGCATTACTAGCTGAAAATATAAATGCATATAAAAAAATTGCCATTAAATCTTTAGTAATATATATGTTTTAAAAAAAATAATAATAATAAACAAACACAAATAGTTAGTTTATAAAGGCATATAAAGTAAAGTAAATACTTCAAAACCAACAAATACTTTCTTCATTTTTATTTTGATCTAAATAAATAATACAAGTAAAAAAACACTGGTAAAAACTTTTTTATTAAATTCCAAATGTTTTAAATTAATGATTGTTTATTTAAATATAAACAAACAATATAAAATATAAACTTTTGAAAAATTATTTTCATCTAAATAATAGTACTGAACTAAATAATTTAGTCAATTAAAAAGAAAAACTACTCAACTCTAATTTTTAACTAACTCAACTTAAATTGTTAAAAAATGGAATGCAACTTTCACTTTATCTACAAAAAAAAAAAAAAAAAAAAAAACCTGTTTAAAACAAAATATTTTAACAGACAAAGATTGAAATAATTTATTACTTGACATCCTAATTCTTTATTTTAGTTTTCTATAAAAAGAATAAAAAAATCACATGTTTATCTTTTAACAAATCAGATAGATTATATAATTGCATAATTAGATAGATTATATAATCGCATAATTATATAGATTATATGGTTTAATCAAATTATCATTTAATACAATAAACAGATTTAAATCTTAAAACTGTTTAATCAAAATATATCATTAATCATCAATCATATATACACGTTAAATATTTGGTATAACACGTTAAATATATACACGTTAATAAAGATTCAAGTCTTACTGAAAGGTTAAAAATATAAAAGGACACAATATAAGGCCAACTGTGAAAAATATATACACGTTAATAAAGATTCAAGTCTTACTGAAAGGTTAAAAATATAAAAGGACACAATATAAGGCCAACTGTGAAAAATATATACACGTTAATAAAGATTCAAGTCTTACTGAAAGGTTAAAAATATAAAAGGACACAATATAAGGCCAACTGTGAAAAATATATACACGTTAATAAAGATTCAAGTCTTACTGAAAGGTTAAAAATATAAAAGGACACAATATAAGGCCAACTGTGAAAAATATATACACGTTAATAAAGATTCAAGTCTTACTGAAAGGTTAAAAATATAAAAGGACACAATATAAGGCCAACTGTGAAAAATATATACACGTTAATAAAGATTCAAGAGTGTCGTACTGAAAGGTTAAAAATATAAAAGGACACAATATAAGGCCAACTGTGAAAAATCTTTGTTAAAAGCTCTGTGTAAAACCACACACAAATGAAAAGCAGTATTAAGTTCTTCATTATAATTACAATATTATAGGATTAAATTCGAAAGTGATTAGTATTGCAAGAAGTAATAGCAGGTATTACAAATTTTTTATAGCAATTTCGAGCACAAATAATGGCTTACAAGTTTTTTTCAAGAAATCAACCTGTTCCTGAAAACATTGCAATAGCAGCTATGGGACGGAAACCACCTGTGCTGCAGTCCCCCGAAATGCCATATTTGCAAAACAATTCTAATTCAGGTAAAAAAATTTAAATAATCATCTATATTGTTTTACCAATTTTGTTATGTGTAATAAAAATATTGTTTTATCAATAACTTTTGTACTAATTTATTTAGTAAAGAGTTTTTTTATTTTTATTTTTTTTTATTTGTGATTTTCAATTAAATGCAAAAAAACTGCTAGGAAAATTTTTAAATTTATTAAAAAAATATCTTGATGTCAAAATAATTACTCTAGATCATTTTAATCAAAAAATATTACCTACTTGGTGTAATTAAGGCAATTTTTAAATTATTCAAGTCCTTTTATTTATTATATTGGTATGATTTTGTCAGCGTATTATGTCCAAACAAAAGCTTTAGATTTCTATAATGTTTAAAGAAACTTTTTTTTTTGATATAATTTTTAAAACTTTTTTACTACCCCTAATAGTAAACCTAAAGAACACCATTTTTGATCTTTAGGTCAATTTTAGGTCATCTTTAGGTCAATTTTGCTTAACAGCGTTAGCTTGATTTTTTAATAATTTTTTTGAAAAAATGTGTTTATTCACTATAGATCCTTGTTCTAATTTATTCTGGTACATATTAGTTAAATGTAGTTGTCAAAATACAACATTTCTGTCAATTTTCACCAAAAATTTAAGAATTCTGACTAAAGAAGAAAGATAATAATAAAGAAGACCTTTAATAAGGTAAAACTGCTAAAAAACAATCGTAACAGATCATAATTAAATTACAAATTTAATAAAAAATTTTCACTAAAGCATATATTTAAAATTTTATTTAAATTTTGACAATCGTGATTTTTAGAAGACTAAAAAAAAATTAAAAATGAAAAAATGAAAATAAAAAAATAAAAATAAAAAAATTCTATAAACCTTAATTTAAATAAAAAAATTTATTATACTTGTTTAAGCTATAAGATCAAAGCTTGAAAGTATAGTTTCTAAATTTCATTTTTTCATTTAGTTAATTCCGAACCTGTTGCAGAAAATGAAAATAATGCACAAGTAAATATAAAAGTTGAATCTCCAACTGTTAATTTAAAAAAAGAGTCTTTAGAAGTTAATGCAGTTGAAACCACTACTCATCCAAAGAAGCTTCCAAGTTTAAATAGTCCGCCTAGATCTCGACTAGCACCAGTTGCGAAACCTATGGGAATTAATCCTGTTGAAATACTTGAAGAGCGAGAGCGGAGGTAAAAAATCTTTTTAAGCAGGTCTTGTTTTAAAGCATTATGTTATATACGTTTTATGTAAAATTTTCTGTTGATGTACATTTTTTAAATGTTTTTTTGCGACTTTCTTTATTGACTAATATGATGAATTTTTTAAATGTTTTTTTATGAATTTTCAACTTTCAAACAGTTCTAATATAATGAACTTTTTAAATGTTTTTTTATGAATTTTCAACTTTCAAACAGTTCTAATGACTAATATGATGAACTTTTTAAATGTTTTTTTTATGACTAATGATTAACTTTGTATTTTAATCTTTGTATGTAATTACTTACATATGGTTGATCGTATTGCTAACATATGGTGGATCGTATTGCTAACATATGGTGGATCGTATTGCTAACATATGGTGGATTGTATTGCTAACATATGGTGGATCGTATTGCTAACATATGGTGGGGATCGTATTGCTAACATATGATGGATCATATTGCTAACATATGGTGGATCATATTGTTTACATATGGTGGATCATATTCCTTACGTTTGGTGGATCATATTGCTTACATATGGTAGATCATACTAGGCAATGTCATAGGTTTATAGCCACAGAGAAAATATAAAGATTTAATTAGTGCAAAAAAATGCACTCTAAATGTGAAAAATTGGATTTAGGATCCAGTGAGAAAAAGAAGATCTTAAGGAAAATAAATCTGGATTTTCCTGTTTTGTAGAAACATCAATCCAATGAAGTTAAAATGTAGAATTTATAATAGCAATGCTAAGTTCAGCAAAGATATAACATTCTTGGCATTTTTAAACACTTTAAAATGTGTCTCATAGATTTAGAAATGTTTTAATTGTGAACACTGCACAGTGGGACAAAATCGAGTTTTTTGTGCCAAAATTATTTTTGTAGTTTTTTTTTTTTTTATTAGAATAGCTATATTTATATATAAAAGTCATAAAGTAATAAACATGTAATTATATAATATTAAAAAAAAAATTAAAAAAATTAAATTTTGGTGAAAAATACCAAATATTTTAATGAACAAGACAACTTTTATCAGTGTAAACATCAAAAATATTACTTTTCAATGCATGTATTTGTCATAAAACAACTTTTTTAGATTTATATTTACAGAACTTATATATTAAAACAGTAATGAAAGATTTTGTAGATATTCTTTTTGTACGAAACATCTTTTAAACATGTTCAGTATTTCTTATCCATAGACCATTAACCAAAGACCAATGTTTTGTTATAACTTTTTTTATTGCAAAATGTTGCAAAATATTTGTGATGCATGGCTGTTTACATACATTTAGCATAAGACTTGCATTATCAAATGTTTGGAGGATGTTGGAGGTTGGTTTATATGATACCTAATAGTAAAGGTTAGTAGCAAAAAAAATATCGAAAACTGTCTGTTTTCGATGCACAAAAACTAATAATTAAACTTAGGTTAAATTCTTTTTAAAAGTCTGAGCGAAAAAAATATTGCATATAAAAATAATATATTTTAAAATGAAAGTCAATAAAGTTAATTTATAACAATAGTAGCGCTAGAAAGTTGATAAATAAAAAATGCAAAATAGCGTTTTGTAACACATGTCAAATTAACGTGAAAAAAACCGCATAAAATAATGCTTAAATTAATATTTATGTTAAATTAATATTATAAAATTAATTATATAAAATTAATATTATAAAATTAAATTAATATTATAAAATAATATTTAAATTAATATTAATGTTTTTTTAACTAGATATTTCCTCTAATGAACATGTCTTCACCATTATGACAAATTTTCACCGTGCAATGGCGACATAGATTTTTTGGTATTTTAGCACACTCTGTTCCACTGTGCACTGCCCAGCCTTTCTTTTAATAGATTGTTATCCTATTGTTCAATAAAGTTCATTCTGTAAAATAGATTGCTGAAATTCATTTGAAAATTATTTTAATTACCGTTAGTACTTGCTTTACAAAATATACAATCATTACCCAAGATTTGCAATAAAAATACTGAAAAAATGGGTAAAAAATCAAAAAAATTTCAAAAAAAAGCAATGAATGATTTATTGGCTCAAATCTTGCTCTGGTAATATTAGAAAAGTTATGCAAATAAATTACATATGAAAGACCAGGGCTATGCTACTTGTATGCTCGTAGAATGGTAATGGTACATATTTATTAAGACTCATCAAAGTCATTTGATTCCACCAAAAGATCTGTTTTGGAGATGTTTCTGAATAGATATTTTAGCATGACAACACTTGTCAAAATGCAAAAACAATAATACCCTGGTTTGAAGAAACAAAAAAAAGGTGCACTATTGGTCAGGTGTGCCAGATTGCCAGATTGAAGTTATGGACTGTTACTGACCAAAATTCTTTTAAGTTTAGGTGAAGAACTAAAAGAAAGAGTTATATAATGGTTTATCGGTTTATGCTGTAGAATTTTAATAAAGTTTAAACTTATTTTTATTCTTATATTTTTTAATGTATTTTCATTAAGTATATTTTTAATATATGCCAAATTTAGTAAATAAATTGTATTTATATTGCAGTTATGTTAGCTAAAGTTTGTGTGTGTGTGCAGTCAGCAAAATTCGAAGAATTTCAGGTCGGCACAAGCGTGCTGACCTTAGCCGACATTAGGTCGGCAAAAAAAAATTGGATTTTTTAGTTTCTGTTACGATAGGGGTAATGATTAATAGATTATAAAAGTATTGCTTTATAATAGCATGGCTTCAGACAATAATATTTTAGAGAAGGTATCAATTAAATTTTGTGTAGTAAATTAAGTATATAGCAAATTTATGAATTAGTCATTTTTTAGTTTTGCAGTTTTTTTTTTTTTTTTTTCGAAAAAAAAGGTTATAATTTATTTATTACATTTTTATTGTTTTTTAGATTGCTCATAAATGTCGTTTAGAAATAAAAATTTAGTTTATGTGCTGTAAGCGAAGATTTTTTTGAAACAGCAAATTGTTTAACCAAAGAGATATATAGCTATAGTAACACTTTGGTTTAACAAAATGAGTAGTCCAGTTGTTTTAACCTCTACGGGAAATAAGCATTTAATTCTCCATTAGTAGGGGTGGTGTTTTTCAATATTTAATTGTAGTATAGTATAAACTTGTAACTATATGTAAATTGATGGAGGGAAAACAAAAGTTATAAAAATACTAAAAATATTTGTTTTTTCTAATATTTAACCAATATCATATGTTTTTTACATGTATTTCAATTTGCATGCCGACACTTGAGGATATTCAGGTCGGCAGTTGTATACCGTCCTAAAGCAAAGATTGGTCAGCTTTTGCATTGGCATTGCCAAACGCCGACCTGAATTTTGCTGATTTAGTTTGTGTGTGTGTGTGTGTGTGTGTGTGTGTGTGTGTGTGTGTGTGTGTGTATATATATATATATATATATATATACATATATGTATATATATATATACATATATGTATATATGTATATATATATACATATATGTATGTATATATATACATATATGTGTATATATATATATATGCATATACATATATATATGTATATATATATATATATACATATACATATACATATATGTATATATATATATGCATATACATATATATATGTATATATATATATATACACATACATATACAAATATATATACATATATATACATATACATATATTTATATATACATATATTTATATATATATATTTATATATATGTATATGTATATGCAATGTATATGTATATATATGTATATACATATACAAAGTAGTAGAAAATCACTTGGCAAATATTTAAAAAAAAGAAAATTTTTTTGCTAAGTGATTTTCTACTACTTTATAATTGCTCTGTTCTTTTAAGAACATTGAGCACTCTATTTTATAGAATACATTTATAATTATTTAAATGTATATACATATACATATATATATAAATATAATATACATATACATATATGTATATGTATATATATGCATATATATATATATATATATATATATATATATATATATATATATATATATATATATATATATATATATATATATATTAGATGTGTTAGAAAAATATTTAAAGACAAAAGTAAAATTGTGCTGCCTTACCACTTAAGTTGCATGCAAGGAACCATGTATGTCATGGAATGGTGTTAGAAATCTTAAGTTTATCAAAGTTACAATGAATTTGGATATGTACATTGATATTTTGAGTAATAATTTGACTTCATCAGCGCGTAAATTGAGATTAGGTAGAAATTTTATATTTCAACATGACAATGATCTGAATAAGTCAAAAAAAACAACATAAGTCAAAAAAAACAACAGAATTTTTACAAACCAAATCCATAAGTATTCTTGAATGGCCAGCACAAAGTCCAGAAATATAAATCCTATCAAAACATTATGGCCCATTATAGATAAACAAATTGGTAATAGTCATTTGAAGTGAAAGGCAGAATTAGAAACTGCTGCTACAAAATCTTGGGAAGAAGTTCTGGTATTACAAAAAAATTAGTGGAGTCTATGCCAAAATGTTTAAATGCTATTATTTAAGCTAAAGGAGGTTACACAAAATATTAATTCTTCTATAAGTCTTCCTAATAAATTATTTATGTTATGTGTCCCATTATTTTTTTCCAGAGAATTTAGTCAAAAAATTGATATGTTCACTTATTATTAAATATGATTTTTGAAAAATCTAAAAATACTCTCAAATGTATTTTTTTTTTATAAAAATGATACTAACAACTATCTTAAAAAAATTATTTATAAATAAAGTTTTTATGAACAAACTGGCAATTTTGATTAATGTTTGGCATGTGTGTGTGTGTGTGTGTGTGTTTATTAATTTTTCAAGTTAAAAGTTACTTTTCTAGTAACTTTTAACTTGAAAAATTAATAAACTTGTTGTAAGTACTCTTGTACTCTAGTATTGATATTGGTTAAAAGTAATATCTAAAAATAATATTTATTTAAAATTATCTTATTTTCATAGTTGCTTTATTAAGTATTTTTTTTTGTTTTAGAATTCTATCACGCATTGCGCACCGCATACAAGTCTTACAAAATTTACCCTCAACTATCAGTGAGCATATTAGAACTAAAGCCTTAATAGAGCTAAAAGCATTACGATTACTTTATTTGCAAAAACAGGTAAACAAAATATTTTAAATATTTGACAATGTTTTCTAGTAGTTTGTTACACTGTTTTGAATTTTATTAGTTTGGTTTATATAACTTAATTATTAGTTTAGTAACTTTTGTTTTATATACTTTTACTTTTTATTCCATTTAATCCCTTTCAAATGGTTAAAATTATTTTTTTAATAAAGCTTATTTGTATAAATATTATTGACACAAAAACGCAACAAAATGGTCGCAGACCTGATGAATGAGGTCACTATGACTTGTGCAAGGCTTGAAATAACAAACTTTTTTCTATCGGACAATTTGTCTGGTAAAGGCTCAAGTTTGCCGGACATGTCTGATAAAAATTAAAGAAAATTTGTTTCAAAATGCGCTGAAAATTTAAAAAGAAAATTTGTAAGATTAATTATCTATCAAAAAGAAAATCTTAAAGAAAAAGAAAAAATCTAAGCTCAAAAAACTATAATTTGAAAATGAAAATATATTTATATTACGTTTTTAAAAAATACTATATTATGAGAAATGTGTTGTAAATTTTTAAATACATAAATTATTATGTAAATATATTAAACACATAAATTATGTAGTTAAATATATAATTAAATATGTATAATAAAAATACAAAATTATTAAATACATCAGTTTCTATGTAAATATATTAAATGCATTAATTATTAAGCTTACTTATTACTTTATTAAAAAAGTAACAAGTTAATTATGTTTACAATAAACCCTTTTTATTTAAATTATCAAAGTATATTACACGTAATTACATTTATATAAATATGTATTTTTTTATAAATCTTTTCAAACTTTTTCTAGGATTAATTTTATAAACAATTTTCATAGCGAAAATTTTTAGCATGAAAACAAACTTAACAACTCAAATTGAATAGTGTAATGAAAAGTTTCTATAAGCATTAAAATAACTATTACTTTAACATTTTTATAAAATAAATTTAAAAGGGGTTTTAAAAGCTAAAATATTTGTTTGAAATTTATAAAAACCATCAGACAACAAAAAAAAATAATAAACTATAAATTTACATTTATAACTAATTGCAAAGTTTTGATATGAATGATAAAAACCGGGCTACAGAATTCAAAAAAATGTAATGCTTTGGTATCTTAAAAAATGAATTAACTCAAAAAAATGGCGTATTTTACTAACGTAGCCGTGTTTAACTTCAATTTTGTTTAAAAAATAAAAAGTTCGTAAAATAAAGGTTATATACAACACTGAATTGATTAATAATTTTGGAACAAATGTATGTAAAATATATGTTGGACAAAAAGACTGATAGATGTTGTTTTTTACCGGACAAATGCCGGACAATGTCCAATGTCCTGCCTTATTTCGAGCCCTGACTTTTTCAGCCCTGGCATTTTCAGAATATACAAGTATCTCCAGGGTCAAGCAAAATTTAATTACTTATTCTTTTATTTAATTTTGAATGTTTTTTTTTCATATTGACAATTTGTGCTTTTTTAAACTTAATTTAATTAAACTTATTTCTTTTGCAATGAGGATTAGTGGGTGTATCACTGCAATAAGGATTAGTGGGTGTATCAGTATGTTGGTTTATCATGTTGTTACTAGGTTAATGGATGAAATTACTTTGCCAGAACACAACCTATTTCTTAAATAGCTTAGTTGCAGCTAAAACATAGTTGTTTTAAATATCCAGCACAAACCAATCAGCTCTTTAAATAAACAGCTGGGATGTGGCTTATTTAGCATTGTGTTTGGATCTGTGTTTAACAGGTCTACACCAAAACATGTAATGAGACAAATAAAATATTTTATTTTTTTTTCTTTTCTTTTACTTTTACTTTATCTTAAAGTTTTTAGAAATAATGAAAATCAAAAATGAAAAAAGAGTCTTGAATGTAACTCATATTTACAAAATGTTTATCCGAGAGAGGTTTTTAAATAAGTGAACATTTTTGTTTTGATATATTTGAGCTTCTACTTGTTTTCATATATTTGAACTAGCAAATAATTTTTCAAAAACAGTGTTTTCTCAATTGTTTTGTATTTGATTTGTTACCCACCGATTCTTAATCTGTACCTAGTAGTGTAGTGGTAGAGCGCTTGCTTCATAAGGTAGAGGTTCCATGCACACAGAGTACTGCTCAACTTGTTTCTCCTTATAGCAGCTTTGTATTTCAGAGTTATAGAGTTGAGAGAGGGTTATAATCACAACAAAGTAGCCTCCTCGTCTCTAGTGGCCTTCTCGACCTTTGGAAAGTGAATTAACATTATAAAAAAAAAAATTAACAAATAGTCATGAAGGCTAACTTAAATTCTTTTGTTTACATTTTTGTGCACCAAAGTACTACTCATGCCCTGAATTGGCATTGACCAGATTTGAACTTATACAATTGTGTACTTTCTCAAAAAAGCCTATGCAGAATAGTTCTTAAAGCCATATTTTTGCAGGATTTAACCATATATGCTTGATTTGTGCTAAGTTTTATAAGAACATTTAACTTAGAGTAAACTAAGTAGTATTCCATTGCATTATAAAAAGATCTGGTTTTTATCAGCATTAATATTATTGCATAAAAATGTAAAGATAAGTTTCAAATGGAGGTCAAGTGTTAGGAATATGTAGTAAAATTAATGAATAATTTTTGAGATTGTAGAAAAATCAATGGATAATTTTTATCTCTTGACCGTTAATTGCTAAAACAATATTTTGTGTTAAAAAATATTTTTATAATGTTAACTAACTGAACAATACATTATCCAAGAATCCAATAAATACTTTATTGATATTATAATTAATTCCAAGTTTTATTTAAAATAAAAATTTGCCTGATTACTTGTAAATCTAGAAATTCTTCAAGTGTTTCACTTTTGTTCCAAAAACAGCGCATGCTACTATTTTAAATAAAATAAGAAAGGTTTTACAAAATAATTTAATTGGTAATTTCATTTATACAAAAAATTTAAAATTGTATTTGCTTCATACCAAACATTTAAAAGCATTAATTAGACACTTTTTTTTTCTTTTGTTGTTTAAATAATTTTCTTGCTTTGAAATTTTTAAATAACTTTTTATGTAACTCTCATATTTTAGATTAAAAAACAAAACTTTAATTAGTCTAATGACAATATCTTTTGTTTGGGGAACTATAAATTTATGTATTCAAATTGCATAGTTTTTGTTCAATAATTTATTAATAATTGATAAATTTTTTTGTTTTTACAAAGATAGATTTTGTAGAAAAACTTTATAGATAAGTAAATTTTTTTAATCATTTTTTATCATTTGAAAATATTTGAGCAGATAAAAAGGTCAAATATCAAACCTTTTCAATTCTATGGTTATGTAGCAGTTAAATAATACGATAGTCAACAAAACAATAATTAAATTAAAAAAAAAAAAAATTTAATTGTTATTATAAATTTATTTATTATATATATATATATATATATATATATATATATATATATATATATATATATATATATATATATATATTTAATTATTATTGCAAATTCATCTGACTGTTGTGATTTTAACCTTTGATGCGGTTTCTTTAATTTATAGCAATCATCAAAAGAGACTTATGTGTTGTAATAATAAATATTTTCTGTCATTATTTTTGAGGCCAACGTTAGATAATGTTTTCATTTTTTTATGCAAAATACTGATTTACTGATTTCAAAGTTTAACACTTTAAATCAGGTAATTAAAAAAATTAATTTGTGAATAAAGAGAATAAAAAATTATTTGCTGATCATTTAAAGAATATAGTAAAATAATTTTTTTCCAAAAGGCCATTATAAGATAAAAAACATAAGGCCCATGCAGGATTTCTGCATAGCCTTTGAGGCCAGCACACCACTGAACTTGTATAAAACTTTTTTGTTTTAAACTCTAACCAACTGAGCTACCATTCTGTTTATAAAATTTATACAGTATACTATTCTAATTTTTTGAAAATATTTATATAATTGTCTCGGAAACACATTAATAACCATATAATATTTAAAAATAACAGTTGATAACAGTTATATAAATATTCTTCAATGAGTATTAAATTTAAAAAAAAAAAAAAAAACTTTACTAAGTAACTGAGTTTAACTAACCTATACCAAAAAATATATCCCTATATATGTTATAGATATGTTTAATATATATATGTTTAATATATATATATATATATATATATATATATATATATATATATATATATATATATATATATATATATATATATACATATATATACATATATATATATATATATATATATATATATATATATATATATATATATATATATATATATATATATATATATATATATATCGCTACTGATTTGGCAACAACACATAACTGACAATCAATACATTTTTCAGGAGCAACTAAAAACTAATTTATTTCTATTTAAGACATTATTAGGTAATATTTTTAATTCATATAGTTTTACTTTCAGATGCTATTCTATTATATAACAAATTTTATTAATTTTTGTGGTTATTCATTTTTTACCAAAAACCATTTGATACCAAAACGTCAATTTTAAAAAAAAAATGTCAGATACAAGTTATTGCCAAATCAGTAGCGATATATATATATATATACATATATATATATATATATATATATATATATATATATATATATATATATATATATATATATATATATATATATATATATATATATATATATATATATATATATATATATATATATATATATATGTTTTAATAAAGGATAAAGAAAATTATTTTACTAATATTTATGATTTTGTTTTACTTGCTATTATTTTACTTGCTATTCTAATTTAAAAAAGAAAATGATTTATTGACTCAATTACCATTTTTTTCTTGAAATGTATAATTATATTATTTATTAGCTCAGATCTGACATAGTGATGTCTATGCGAAAAGATACCACACTGGAAACTGCACTTAATGCTAAAGCTTATAAGCGTAGTAAACGCCAAAATTTAAGAGAGGCCAGGTAGGTTTTTATTTAAATATATTTTTAAATTTATGTAGCTTCTAAAATATTTTAGACTATTTAAACGTTTTTCAAAGGTTAAATTTTTATATTGGAATTATAATCAATTACACAGGTTTTTTTCTGGCAAGCAATGTTTTTTGCAGCATTTGCATCTTTACCATTTGGGATAAAATCCCTAGTATTGTCAAAAAAAATTCTAATGTATGTCAACCGGGGTCTCAAAATTAGCATATTTTTATAGGAATTTTAGAAAACAAAAAAATTTTTAATCAATATTTATAAACAAACAAATATTGTGAAAGAATGCTCAAAAGATTCTTAAAACTTGAGGATTTTAAAAATATTTTTTTTAAATTTTTTATGGAAATATGCTTCTTTTGAGGCCCAGGGTGACATACTTTAATAATCTTTTTTAACAATATTAGGGATTTTATCCCAAATGCTAAAGATTTGAACCCGAATAACTTTACAACTTGACATGATCGTAAAAAATAAGTTGCATATTTGAAATCAAAATATGAAATGCTCTACAAAAAAAATATTGTTTGCTTGGCACCAGAATTTTTTTTGTGTGTTATAATCAATTTATAAAAAAATATTAAAAAAAAATGACTTTTTGATCATAATTAACAGACTTTAACAGGTTAAAAAATAAGTTGCATTTTTGAAATCAAAATATGAAATGCATTATGTGCATTATGTTATATTACCTGTTAAAGCCTGTTAAAGTCTGTTAATCATAATTATAATCAAAAAGTCATTTTTTTTAAAATATTTTTTTATAAATTGATTTACACATTTAGTTTATATGTTTTTTTAGAAACTTCTATTCTTTTATAGAATGACAGAACGACTTGAGAAGCAACAAAAGCTTGAAGTTGAGAAAAAAAAGAGGCAAAAACATTTAGAATACATAAACACAATTTTACAACATGCTCGTGAATATAAAGAGTTTCACAGAAGCGTACAAGCTCGCATACAAAAGACAAACAAACTTGTGATGGTTTATCACACTAACTCTGACAGAGAAAGGCGAAAGGAGGAAGAAAGAATAGAAAGAGAACGTCTTCGACGTCTTATGGTAAAAATTTATAAATTTTAGTTTTACTTATGTACTTTTATGTGTAAACTAATTTATATAATTTTTTAGGCAGAAGATGAAGATGGTTATCGACAGTTAATTGATGAAAAAAAAGACCAGAGATTGCACTATTTACTTTCGCAAACTGATGAGTATATAACCGGTCTCATGCAGCTGGTTAAAAAGCATAAGAAAGAAGTAGATGAGAAAAAAAAACCTAAACAAAAAGGAATGGTTAGTAATGCTGATACATATATATATATATATATATATATATATATATATATATATATATATATATATATATATATATATATATATATATATATATATATATATATATATATACCTAAACAAAAAGGAATGGTTAGTAATGCTGATACATATATATATATATATATATATATATATATATATATATATATATATATATATATATATATATACACAAACACATACACATACATATATATATAAACACATACATACATACATATATATATATATATATATATATATATATATATATATATATATATATATATACACGCATACATACATATATATATGCAAACCTCGGAATTAGGAAAAACAAGGTCAATAATTTGCCAACCTCAATCTTTTAGAGGTCGGCATCAGGTCAGCAAAAATTATTTAAAACAATGATCTAACCATAAATCATAGAAACAAGGTCAGCAATTTTTTGCCAACCTAAAATAATTTCAGGTCAGCAGTTAGGTCGGCATTGCCAAATGCCGACCCTAATTCCGAGGGTATATATATGTGTGTATATATATATATATATATATATATATATATATATATATATATATATATATATATATATACACATATATATAGTCAAACATATAAACACTGCATATGAAATATTTCTTTCTTTTATTGTTACTATTAAGTAATTTTAATAGATACACTAAATTTAAGTTGAATATTTTTTTGGAACTAGAGGTCTTTCAAAAAATCATCATTAGTGCTATTTATGTGATCAAAATAATATTTTCCTTTGAAACAGGAAAAATTGTTTAATCATTATAACTCTTATAGTCTTTTTTTTATTTTTTATTTTGATTTTAAACAGGAAATGTCAATTAAAAGTGTCATTTTGTTTGTGGAGATGTTTTTCATAGGAAATTAATTTTTTTTTCATTTGTGAGTTCCAAAAAATAAAAAGTTGAAAGAAAGGTTCTATAATTGTATTATGTGCACATTGGCTATTATAAACATTGTTATCAAATCTATTTGTTGATTGTTTAGTTCTACAACTACAAATATGTTGATTTGTACGAATTCTTAAATTATTAGTTTTTCTGAAGTCTTGAATTATTTTGTACCAAGTCTTAAATTATTAGTTTTTCCAGTGTATGTAGTTTTCATACTCAAGATAGACATTTTAAATAGTATATTACATTTTTACTATTGCAAGAAGTTAAAATATTTACAACATCGAAACGTTCCATATGGAACATAAAGAGTCATAACTATTTTTCCATCAAGAGACAATGCGCTTTATAGCATGGTGTGATATCAATTTCAATACTTTTTAAACTTTTAAAAACATCCTCATCATATCATCATCAGTAGGATGTAGATATTCCTTTGGATCAGCATTCAATCAGTAAATCTTAAGTTGATCAATAAGGCTTGCAGCACCTTTATTCTTTATTCGTTATTTTTTTTACCTTTTTTTTTTTTTTTACAAGGAAGCATAAATATTTGTGTCATTTATCTAGATACTTTGGATATTTATTTGTTATTCTTCAGTTTTATTTTTTAACAAAATTTTTTTAAATAGGGTGCATGATACTTCTTTTTTGCTTAGAAACTTTTGTATCAAACCTAATGGCATCTTTAGGCTTCATCATAAACAGTTTTCCCCACTGTTTATGATGAAGCCTAAAGATGCCATTAGGTTTGATACATAAAAGTTTCCATGCAAAATAAAGTGCCATGCACCTGATTCTTATTTAAGAAATTTTGAAAACAGAGATTGTTTACAAAAATCTTTTTTTATTATACTTTTTTTTTTTAAATCTTAAATTTAATTTTTATTTGCTACACACCAACACACACATAATTGGTCATAATGCCATTTATTACTGAAAATATTTGTTAAAATAAAAATTAGTGCTAATGATAAAAAATAAACTCCTAATAATTATATAAAGGTAAATTGTAAAAAGATAGCATGTTGAATGTTGAAATATCTATGTGATAGCATGTGGAATATCTTAAATATTTTATGAATAATTTTGATTGGATCTGTTGATACAACAATTTTGTTTACTTATATTTTTAATTTTGTTCCTTATTCAAATTTTATTTACAACTTTACTATACATAACTTATTACAACATTACTATACATAAACAAAAATTCTCGTTGGTGTAATTATATACACATTATCACATCATATCATATTCACCATTATCATTTCTTCCCAAAAACTAAAGTTCTTAAGTAACAGTCATTTAATATATGTCAGGTTTCTCCTTTCACTTGTTGATCGTCTGATCTATGGTAATAAATAATTGACGATTTCTCTGTTGTTAGTTTCCCCCTCAGCATCAGAAACTCTTTCTACGATTTTTCCCTCTTGCAGTATAAATACCTAAATCTTTTAATTCACTTTCATCAATGTCATTCTCTTCACTGATAATAATTTTACTGGAAACGTTTGTAGAATTTGAGGCAGGAACTATTCTCACATCTTGCACATGTCTTAATATACCATCAATTTCAATATTTGTGTTTGTGAGTATGTCAGTTACAGTATCAATTTTTTGCATCAGTGAGGCAAGCGTATACTTGTTCTCCAATTCTGTAAGTTACCGTAACTCATGATATTTTCTGAGTTTCAATGTTTTGCTCACCTTGAATTGTTTGACTCCATACTTATTGTTTTGAGAAGCAGTTGCAGATTTTTTTTTGTTCCCATTGTTGGTGTTGCATTGTACCAAAATATAACTAGTAATGGACATATTTACGTCCTCGCAACTGTTTATTTTACTGCGCAGTGGTTTTACTCCACAATCCTGTTTGGGATTGTGGAACGATGATAGATGGTCTACATGCACACCTATACATCTTGTTTACATACTATTTCTCGCATATATTTGAAAATTTACTGGATCTAAAAACCTCTCGATTGTCTATCAATAGTTCTTGTTGTGGACTATGCTCCCTGAATTTGGATTCCAATTGAGTTACTACACTTTTGGTATCTTCATGAAAGTTTTGGTGTCTTCTTTAAACTGTAAATCGTCTTGGTCCTCAGTCAATCATTGTTAAATATAGCGACCCTTTGTTGTGAGTCACATCACAAGCAATGCGATACCTTATATCTGGTGCATCTTGCACTCCATGTTTTTATTTTATTGATGCTGAATTACATTGACAACATTTGCGCACACATTCTTAAATGTCTTTTCTCAATACGTGCGGTAGTTTTTGTTGATTTTTTGAGTAAAATTTACAAATTTCTTCTACATTATATACTCCATATAGTTCTTTAGTATTTCTTCGTGAAAGGTCATTTAACCAGGTCTATGGAACTCTTGTCAACACATCAGCTTTGCTTTTGAAGGACAGAACCCATTTCAATGTGATGTTCATATTATATTCTTTTATTAAATCTTGCAATAAAGAAAGTCTTCTTTTAATAAGCACTTTTGATAATCCATTCGGTTGAACCCTGTGACTTTCAGTCAGCATACTTTTTAACCATCCATGCATGGTTACTGAATCAGTGAATACTGATAGGTTCTTTATATCCCACTTAGCAGCTAGATTTATCCCACGCTCCACAGCAATATTAATATGCATGACATCATTAATAATTCAAAGCCATGCTGCGTAATTAATTATTATGCAATCTTACTCTATAGCAACTCCAATTGTCATGCTACTTGCATACCACTAACAGCATCAATACCTTTGACCACACTTTTTAGAATCACTACAGAAGTTTTTAGTCGTTTTTCTTCGATGATTAATGTTACTGTAGCTTCTTCTACTGTTTTCACGAATTCTCCATTTACAGCTAATACCATGAGTTTGTTTCTTCTGATATAAACACTGGCTCTCTGAGCCGTTGGAAGTGCCATTATTTGTTCTGAGAAACAGCTGGCGATTCCCTATGCATTTCCATGTGTCTAGTTTTTCCATATCGGAAACACTTTATTCTTGTTAATAAGACAACTTTGTTTACTTTTGTTTTTAACTCTTTTATAAATTTTATTTACAACAAAAGTTCTCAAGGGCATAATTATTCACGAAAATAGCTTATTAATTAGCGGTATTAAATTACATCAATTAACTCATAACAAAATGTAATAAACATAACAATAAACTGTTGTAATAATTAGCTATTATCACAGGACCAAAATTTGGTTGATTATTATTTATTAAGGAAATATTTTATATAGTAGAAAACACTCTTTTATCACCTCATAGACATTACAGCTGTAGAGAGGTTTGTTCTACCATCTTGTAGACATTGCAGCTGTAAATAGGTTTGTTCAACCATTTCATAGACATTGGAGCTTTAAATAGGTTTGTTTTACTCAAACACATGCAAAATCAAAGGATAATACAAAAATAAATTCTTGCTATACCCTTTTAGACTTATGTCGAAGAACTTATTTGGTTTTGAAGAGTTTTTCAAGCTTTTAGAGCACTAACTATATTTAAATTATGGGAAATAACATTCTGTGCGTCTTCCTAAGTTTAGGAGCAAAAGAAGATACTGTAAAATGTTTTTTTGTTCTAGAACAGCGATTTACAACCTTTTCAATGCTTTTGATATTAATTGCCATGTTGTGGCGACCCTAACAATAAAGTTAATAAGGTTGCTTCTAAAATACTACACTTTTTAATTACTAAATTTTTGCAGCCAAGTGTTATATGAATGTCTGATTTTATTTGTAACTTATACTTTATAAGCATCATATATTTTTATTACAAATTTTTGTTATAATAATTTATCAACAAAAACAGTTTGTTATATAATTTGATTAATTTTTGCATGAGAATAAAATGTTTGCGTAAACAAATTATTTCCAGAAGGTCTAATGTTGACCCCTGGAAAATTATCAGGCAAACTTGGTTGGGTTGTGACCGACACAGTTTGGGAACCACTGTTTTAGAATTAAAAACTTTTAATTCTTAACACCATAAATATCTACACTAACTTTGTTATAAATCCTAACAAATTTACTACTTTGTCTGCCATTATGGACTATGACATAAATATCAATGATATGATAGTTTTTAATTAATTTGTTTTTATAAAATTTTGAAGCCGTTCACAAATACATAAAACTAAATATTCAGGATTACTTTTAATGAACAACCACAAGAAGCACCATAAAATTTACTTATAATAGTTTTTATTTTTTCATTGTAGTAGTATGTTTTTGCCATAATTTTTCTGTAACTTCTTTATACATTTTAATTTTAATAACATAGGTTGTGGAAGATGAGACACAGCGCATTGCTGTTGAAAATCTTGAAAAAGGAATCAAACTTGTTGGAGATGAGGCTCCTATGTTTTCAGAACTAAACGAATTTCTTGCTGCTAATCCAGGGTAATCATTGATTTTTATGATAGAGGACAAACTTTAAACTTTTGTCCAATAACGCACATACAAATATATATATATATATATATATATATATATATATATATATATATATATATATATATATATATATATATATATATATATATATATATAAATTTATATTTATAGCTAATATAATTTTTATTAGCGAGGATAATAAAATCTTATATATTTTGCGCACTTATAGTTAAATGTTGACATAAATTTAAACAGGTTTTTCAGAAAAAATTAGAAAAAACAGATGAAAAAAAAAAAGTTTTTGTTTGCTGTAATATAAATTACTCATCAACTATCAAAGCCCAAACCCTAAATCAATCTACATACTAAGCCCTTGCCACATCTTATATTAGTATGACATCATCAATAACATTTTATGCAAGGCTGTGGCCCAAAGAGATTGTTAATCAGATTAAACATTTTTTATTCTGTGTTTGTCTTATAACAATAAAAAGAAGCTTTTTTAAAATCTAAACGAAGTACTAATGACTCAATGACTCAAAAAGCTAAAATTGATGACTCAATGGCGCAAAAAGCTAAAATTGAGGTGGTCTTAGCCCATTTAAGCATTTTATATTTATTTTACAAAAAATATATATATATATTCAAGACTATTTGTCTTGAATATATATATATATTTTTTAAATATATATATATATTCAAGACAAATAAAAAAATAGAGATAAGCTATAAAATTAAAAAAATAGAGATAAGCTATAAAATTGTAACTTTAAAAAGACTTTAAATAGAAAAAAATTATATATATATATATAAATATATATATATATATATATATATATATATATATATATATATATATATATATATATATATATATATATATATATATTGACTATCAAATAGCCTGACTTGCATTAAAGGTGCTGCTACATCGACTGAGGGTTTGGCATAGGACAGCAATCTTTTCTTTCATTATTCTTTGTTTTTTTCTTTTCCTAAAAAATTAAACCACACTTTTTTTACCTTAAGAGCTCAAAAATGATATTAGAAATTTGTAACATGAGAAAGAAAGTTTAGGAAGAAAAAATTTTTTTTTTAAAAGAGAGAGTTTAAGAACAGTTTCAGTTTTTCAGAAACGGGTTTCAAAACAAATTTTTTTTGTATGTATTATTTTCTTGTTTTTAGATTTCAAGTTGTTAAAGAGCCTGATGAAGAAGAACAAGAGGAACCTGTAGAAAAAAAAGTTGAGAATGAGAATGAAGAGAATGTAAAAACTGAAAATAATGCACAAAAAAAAGAATATGAAGATGATGATGCTGGGTAACTTTTAAAAAAATTAGTTTTAAGCGATTTAAAAATCTGATTTTTTTTTTATCTATAACTTGTATACTATATTTTCTTAAATGTATTTTACAAATTTCTTTGTAAAATTTTGGCCAAAAAGATCAGACCATTTGTGCAATACACTAAATGCAACAAACACAGTGTACTTAGTTATCAACCTATTGGAAAATATTTTATATGCACTGTATAGTGGCTTGCCATATATGTACAGTGCATATTTACAGTGATGATCTGTACACTATATGTTCAAAATTAATACAACAAATATGCACAGTACAGTGTGCAAAAATTTTTTATATGTACAGTGGCCATATTATTAGGCTTTGTGGAAAAGAAACATACAAAACACCACTAAAAACCATCATCACGATCTTTTTTTATTTTTTTATTTTTTACTTAAGCAACGTTTGCTAAATATGTTATTTCATAAATGGTAACATTGTTTTTATTATCATTCTTATCATATATTGTCAGTTTGAACAGTACATTTCATAGAATGGTTGTGTGAAGTGTTTCTTTCTACAAACAAAATTATTGGAATACCTCATTGTGAAGATTATTTTGTGACTAACATTGTGTATTTTATTAATCACAAAAGTGTGTAATATCTTAACACTCACATTTTTTAAACAAAATTATATAAAATTATTTTTTTATGGATAAGTACACAATATTATTGAATATTGTCTTTTTTTAGCAATGGGGAGGGTATGTGATATTTCTCCATGAAAACTAGGTGAAGTTATTTTAAAATGCAAGCATGCCGCAGTATTTCTCCTTGAAAACTAGGTAAATTGTTAAAAAATACAAGCATGTCACAGTATAAGTCAGCTGAGATACTCAACATTTCTCAAAAGCAAAAACTTGATTTTGACATCTTTAGACCCTGCTCATAAAGGTGTTTATGGCAGAAAAAGGTTAATAACACCTGGGACTGACAGAAAAATTAAGGGTATTTGTCTACAACAAAGAAAACACCTTATTAACTTATTGACCAAAATTTTTAATGAACAGGAAGTCGATATTTCTAACATACAGTCTGAGACGTCTTAAAGAATTAGGTATGACACATACAAAGCATAAATGCAGCAAAGGGACATTCAAAATATTAGCTATTTAACTCTTTCATGATTTTTTAAAATTATTTTCCATTGTTATCTGTTAAATATATGTATTTGTTTTTGCAAAAACATTGATTTTTATTTATCTATAGTAAAATGTCCTTAAATGGTAACAAATTGGCCATGAAAATGATATTTATGATGTAATTTTTTTGTTTTTGCTAAATTTAATAATATAGCAAGCCACTGTATACATTAAAGTTATGTGTACTTCAATCACTGTTATTTAAGAGTATGGCTACAATATCACTTGACAAACCTGTTCAAGTCCAACTTTCAATGATCAAAGTCAAGTCTGAATGGGCAACTGCTTTACATTTGGAAAGTCTAAGACAACTGTTCAGATCTTTTTGGCCATTATATAATAATCTTTTGTACTTAGTATATAGTAGCAAAATAATTTAACTTTTTAGAACATCATTAGACAGTCGAAATTATTATAATCTTGCACACAGTACCTCAGAGATAATTCATGAACAGCCAAAGTCACTTTGTGGTGGAGTCTTAAAAGAGTATCAGGTTTAAAAAAATATTTACATTTTTTTAACTTGAAAGGTATTGAGAAGGGGATTTTTTTACATTTTACATTTTTTTTTAGTTAAAAGGTCTTGAATGGATGGTTTCCTTATATAATAACAACCTTAATGGAATTTTAGCTGATGAAATGGGACTTGGAAAGACAATTCAAACTATTGCGTTAATAGCTTATTTAGTAGAAAAAAAAAAAATGAATGGACCTTTTCTTGTAATTTTGCCACTTTCGTAAGTATTTTTCAATCTATACTTTAATATTAAAATTCTTATTTTGTAATTTTAGTGTTGTATGAAATATAGTTTATTTTAATACCAACTTTTATTATTGAATTTTTATTGTTAAATTTTAGGACAATGTCTAACTGGATGCTTGAATTTGAAAAGTGGGCCCCAAGCATTATTTGTTACAGTTATAAGGTTTACTGTGTTATAATACAATTATATACACTGTTTTAATACTTTTAAAGATATATGTATGTACAGGCAATGTTATGAGATTTTGTTGTGTAACAAAAAAACATTACTCGAGTAAATCTAATTTTACTCAATATACATATTTACATTGTTAAATTTAATTTAATTTGAAACCATGTTAAAAATAATTTAGAGTCTTAATCTTTATAATATATTTATAAAATAACAATACTGTTTTAAAAAAATATATAAATGAAATTTAAATATGTTGTTTGAAAAAAAAAAAAATTCCTAATTCAAAAAAACTTATACTATTTATTTCTTAATTGATTAATTACACAACATTGTCTTAAGTTTATGTTATTATCAGCAATTTTTTTTCAACATTTTGAGTTGAACAAAATACATTTAAATACAGTTATAAGCGTTAATCCCTTTTATATGTTAGCATTTTGTAATGGGATGAAAAATACTTATTGATTTGAAACTATAAACAAAATAGTTGAATGTAAAGCAAACATAAAAAAGTAACTTAAGTTTGATAAAAATAATTTTTTTTTCTTTAAGCATAGTTTGGAAATTTTAAAAGTATAAAAAAATAAGTTGTAAAACAGCATTTTAAATTTTAAAAAAATTTAAAATAAGTTTAAATTTATTAATATTTGATTATAAATTTAACTTAGATATAGTAAAATTAATTTTAGTTTTTTATAAAAAAATGGAAAGTTGAAAAAAATTTATTTAACCAACGTTTTTTTATCCAAAAAAAAATATTATTTCACAACTGCGGTGAAAATGTTTTTTACAACAATTAATTTCATTTGATGTTTTCCACAAAAACTATTTCAAAAGACTGTTTAAATAATGTAATTGAAAAAAGTTTTGGCATAACATAAATTGCTGGAGGCGTAGGTGAAATTGCCATTATGTATGTGAAATAGTGTAACACTTCTTGTATGTATATATTTGACATATCAGTAATAAAAAGAGGTTTTAACATTAAATTTTAAAAAAATTTTTTTTAGGGTTCTCCACAAAATCGACGACAGGTCTCATATCAGATAAAGGCTGGAAAATTTAACGTTGTTCTTACAACATATGAATATGTAATGAAAGATCGATCTATCCTGGCTAAAGTAAACATTTTTTCTGTTAATTTTTTTACACATTGTTTAATTTGGCAAGTCATTTCACAAATTTTATTTTCAATCTTTGATCCACTCTCTAGAAATAGTTTTTTAACATAGACTTATACTGCACTGTCAGTCTTTTCTGTTTAGCCAGCACTTTTGCTGGCTAAACAGAAAAGAAATAAAAAATAGTGATAAAGTGCCAAAAAAATAAGTGTTTTGTTTTAAATTGCAACTAAACTTTTTTGATCATATGTTCATTTTTTATGAAAAATGGGTTATTTTTACCAGTTTTTTAAATTATTTTCTCATTTATTCAAAACATTCTTTTTCGTTATTTTTACTTTTATTTAAATTTCAGAAAAAAATGAATTTTTTAAATAGCGCTGGCTAACTTTAAAATGACCATCCTGCCAGCACTTTTTTGTGTGCTGGCATTAAATTTCAAACAGAGAAGATTGAACCTGTAGTGTTTTATTAAATCACATTTTATTAAATCAAGTTTTGAACTGTGGTCTAAAAGTGAAAGACTGCCATTAGAAGAACCAGCCCAAATATGGCAACAGTATTCCATGCAGAGACAAATGAGATTCAAAAACGTAGAGAATAAAAGCAAGAGTAGGGTAATGGCGAGCATAATAAAGGAAAGCAACATTTGTAGATGCCAACTTTGCAATGGATTGTATATATGTCAGTAGTAAATTATAATCCAAGAAGTCATAATGAAGAGGACTCCACCCTCAGCTAATGTACAATAGAATCTTTCAGTTACAGCAGTTAGCATATCAGCAGTAAAACAAAAAAATCAAAAACTGTATTGATTGTCAGAGAGATAGTTATTAGACTCAGTTAGTTATTGTCAGAGAGATATTAGACTCAAGATGGGATGTAAGAAATTTCTTGTTTAATGAAACCATGCTAATAATAGAGAAAAGACTGATTAGACATTAGTTAGAGGGGTCAGAATGTTCTTTGTAACTTTAAAAAATTGGAACGACTAGCTGGCAGAAAAACAAAGTTCTAGAAGACAGAAAAACAAGGTTCAATCAAGCGCTTATTAAATAGTTTAGATAGAATTGAAGAGAATAGAAATTGGAGAATTCTTTTGTAAGACTATGACAGGAATGTTGTTTAAATCACAAGCCATAGAGTTTAATTAATAAATGACTTTAGTAATGAAAGCCAGAGTGATTTGTATGTCTAATGATTGCTTAACCTGTTTAACTAGAATAGCAGGAAATAAAATGGATGAGAAGTAATAAAAACATCCATATCTGCCTGGGTTCAGGAGGTAGAGGCCTCCTGAATCCAGGAAGAAAATACATCCAATCACAAGCAGGTAACTATTGGAGTCTTTACCAATCAAAAGATAGTAGCCATCAATACTGCAATCCAAAAGAAGAAACAGTCAAATTCAAATTAGTTTCACAAAGAGCATGTCTAGTAAATTTGTTAAGAGGTAAGATTGATGGAAAGTTACTTTAAAGATCTCAAATATTTGTGAAAGATATATTGAAACAGCTAGGTGGTGGTGATGGTTTTTTATGTTTAGTATTTTTAGTTACTTTGATCATTGTTAAACTTAAAGAGAACTTGACTCTTATAAATAGAACACAGCATCCTAAGCTATGCAGTTGTCTCAGTCCTACTAATTAACCCAAAGTCATAACTTAGGACTCTTTATGTGGCATAGACAATGCACATTAAAAGCACTAACAGAAATACCATCCATGGGCATAGTGGCACTGTTAATACTCTGTTGATTTCCAACTGTTGATGGAATCAGCCTTTCTTAGAACTAAAACTTTACCAAATCAATTTTACTAATTAAAAGTAAAAAATTTACTATACATATATGTTTGCGTTACAGGTGGATAAACATACTATACTATACTAAAGTGTTTAGAATGAAATAGAATGAAAACCAGACCTGATGTTAAAAAATAAATGTCATGTTCATTCAGTGTGTATACATATATATAAATATATATATATATATATATATATATATATATATATATATATATATATATATATATATATATATATATATATATATATATATATATATATATATATATATATATATATATATATACATATATTAACTACTTCAAAACATCAGATATTACAAATTCTCTCAATACAAAACAATTTATTTGTAATTTTTGCGGGATTATTTTTATTTATTTTTATTATTTAATTATTTTATATTACAGATTTATTATTTTCAAACAAATTGTTTAATATTGAGAGAATTCTTATTATCTGATGTTTTAAAGTAGCTTATATATATACTCTCGTAGAAGATGTCAAAATTTAAGTCATATATATATCTAAATATCTATATATATATATATATATATATATATATATATATATATATATATATATATATATATATATATATATATATATATATATATATATATACACACACTCATATGTGTATAAATTATACATTTTTTTTAATGTTATAAATAGTTTATGCATTATATAATTTGATAGGTTAAATGGAAATACATGATTGTTGATGAAGGTCATCGAATGAAAAATCACCATTGCAAATTGACTCAAGTTTTAAACACTTATTATGCTGCACCATTCCGTCTTTTATTGACAGGAACTCCCTTACAAAATCGTCTGCCTGAACTGTGGGCATTATTAAATTTCTTGCTCCCAAGTATTTTTAGCTCTTCAACAACATTTGATAATTGGTTTAATACTCCTTTCCAGCTTACTGGAGAAAAAGTTGAGTTAAATGAAGAAGAAACTCTATTAATTATTCGCCGTCTTCATAAGGTACAACAATTACCAATAATATGACCTAATTTTTTTTTAATATGCAAAAATTAGTTGCAAGTATAAAAACAAAAAAACAAATAAATCAAAGATAAAATTACAAAACAAAAAACCAAAGATAAAATTACCTACTATGTTCCTTTAATTAAAAATATTACTATGTTCTTTTAATATTCAAACTTTGCAGGTTCTTCGACCTTTTTTATTAAGAAGATTGAAAAAAGAAGTAGAATCACAATTGCCTGAAAAGGTATGCATTTTTTATTTTGAAAAGGTATGGATTTTTTATTTTCAAAAAGTATGCATTTTTTAGCGTTTATTTGGGTCATCATGTTACTAAAGAGTATAGATATTTTTTGCTAAACAAGTCTTTTAAATAATTTTTATTAATTTCCCTCTCTCTCTCCCCCCCTCAAACCCACCTTTTTAGTCTTTTTTTTTTTTTTCCTTAATTCATAAATCTTTAATATTAGCTTGAAGCATAAATTTAATTAATGTACTTTTCTAATGGTGTTTTTTTTAATACTCTGGTATTTTTTACATTTTAAATTAAATTTAGGTTGAGTTTATTGTAAAATGTGACATGTCTGCTCTACAGAAGATATTATACAAACATATGCAGCAAAAAGGCATATTATTAACAGATGGATCAGAAAAAGACAAGAAAGTAAGAGTTAAGAAAAATAAATTTTGATGATAAAATTAATAATAAACTACTAAATGTTTTTTTTTTTAGGGTCATGGTGGTACAAAGACTCTAATGAATACCATCATGCAGCTACGAAAGATATGTAATCATCCATTTATGTTTCAGCATATTGAGGTAAAAATGAAAAAAGTATTAACAAAACTAAAAAAAAAGAGAGGAAAAGAGGGTTAAAAATTTTGGTACATGTTTGATATCACGGTTGTTTACAGCGCTATGTTTAGGTACGCATGCATGAGAAAATACAAAAAACTTTTGAACTTTTAAAATGGCTACGGTTCTTAACTACAGAGAATATTTTATATGGCAATCATCTATTAGTTATTTGATTTCTGAAAACTCAGTGTTGTAGCCTTATTATTAATGTAGATTATTAAAAAAATATCACAAAAATATAAACAAAAAAAGGATAAAAAATCTTAACGTACTAAAACTTTGTTTTCAATTAACAACTTTTTAGTGTAACTAATACATTTGTTTATTTACTTAAAATCAATTCTCTTAAAATCTGACTGTAGGATTTCAATAATTTTTTTTTTAAACGTCAGATAAATGTTCCGTATTTATGATATTTTTCTGGTCATTGCTTCAACTTTTTTTCAATATAAAAATTTGTTTTTACTGTTATGACTATTTGCTTATATATATATATGTATGTATATATCAGGGCTGTGGAGTAGGAGTCAGAGTTGCGGAGTTGCAACATTTTTAGCAGAGTTGGAGTCGCTAAACAAAATCTCCAATAGTAAAACTTCTCGGTATTGCACGTGCATGTACCAAACATTCAATTTACCTTGTTTTCATACTAAACCAAAACATTTCATAAATTTGTCAACAAAAAAAAATTAACTTATCGCGTAATATTTTTTAAAGAATTAAAAGAATTTTTTAAAAATTTTGCTTTAGAGTTGGATTCAGAATCAGAGTTATGCTCAAAAAATTTCAACAATAGGAGTTGGAGTCGGAGTTGTACTCAAAAAATTTCAACAACTGAAGAGTTGTTACTTTTTTTTTACAACTCCACATCCCTGATATATATATATATATATATATATATATATATATATATATATATATATATATATATATATATATATATATATACATAAATATATGTATATATATATATATATATATATATACATATACATATATATATATATATATATATATATATATATATATAGCAAAATTATATGAAAATTCATTGTTAGATTTAACACCATAAAAAATGAAGTTTATTAAAAAAGAAAAGTGTGCATTTTTATCAATTTTTGGCAATATTTTTTTTTTCAATAAGTTTTTAAAATATAATTATCATATTTAAAATTTTCACGATTTTGCTTAATTTGAGACGAAATGTCAAGATACACTTTTGAAGATTTTTTTGTTGATTATATTAGGAACTTGTTATGTTTAAGGGTCTTGAGGGGCTCCAAAAAAAATTTTTCTTCAAAAAATTTTTAAAACTAGTGTTTTTTTAATCATATAAAACACATTTGGAGGTAGCAGTTAAATTTTTATAAAATATTGTTTTTGGAACGACCTTATAAGCATGAAGTATTTATCTTCAAAACACAGTGTGAAATTTTTTTTTTAATGTTCTAACTGAATTAAAAAATATTAGGTAATTTTAATAAAATTAATAATAAATAATAACATAGCTAAATAAATTTAAAAAAATACCTTAATAATAAATAAGCTGATAATAATAATATGCTCTTATGGTACCAATTGTATTTTGAATTGAATAATATTTAAAAAGCCACATAAAATCAAAATTGCTCATATCGTATTTTGATAATAAACTCTTTTTATGTTACTTTTACCTGCAATACCAGAAATCAGCTAAATTACTAATATTTGTTTGTAATATATATATTATTAATTATTCACCTCTACATCGACTATAGATGAGGAGGCTACTTTTGTGGTTTCAACCCTTTTCAAAACGAACCTTAACAGACAAGGCCGCTACATGAGAAATAAATTGACAACATGCCTTTAAAAATACTGTGTTAGTCTAACACAGTGTCATTAAAGTCATACTCACTGCCTTATATATATATATATATATATATATATACATATATATATATATATATATATATATATATATATATATATATATATATATATATATATATATATATATATATATATATATATATATATATATATATATGAAGATAAATACTTTTGAAGATAAATACTTCATGCTTATAAGGTCGTTCCAAAAACAACGTTTTATAAAAATTTAACTGCTACCTCCAAATGTGTTTTATATGATTAAAAAAACACTGGTTTTAAAAATTTTTTGAAGAAAAATTTTTTTTGGAGTCCCTCAAGACCCTTAAACATAACAAGTTCCTAATATAATCAACAAAAAAATCTTCAAAAGTGTATCTTGACATTTCGTCTCAAATTAAGCAAAATCGTGAAAATTTTAAATATAATTATATTTTAAAAACTTATTGAAAAAAAAAATATTGCCAAAAATTGATAAAAAGGCACATTTTTCTTTTTTAATTAATAAACTTCATTTTTTATGGTGTTAAATCTAACAATGAATTTTCATATAATTTTTCTTCATTTGAGACCAACATGATACACTTAATTAATTTTTTTTATATTATTAGAAACTTGTTATGTTCAAGGGTCTTGATGGAGTCCTCTAAATATTTTTTATTCAAAAAATTTTAAAAACCAGTTTTTTTTATTATATAAAAACACATTAGGTGGGTGGAAGCATATATTGTTCAAAAATGTTCATTTTGGGAAAACCCTATAAAATAGGTTCTATGATAAATATGTTCTATATTGATGATATATTGAAGTGTTTTTACTTTTATTTTTTTTGTTACTGTATATATATATATATATATATATATATATATATATATATATATATATATATATATATATATATATATATATATATATATATATATATATATATATATATATATGTATATATATTAGGGTGGGTCATAAAATGTTTTTTTCTTGTTACAGGCTCTAAACATTGCTAATAGTTATTAATATTGATACTATCAAATATGAGAATGATTGTGATAGATTTAAAGGATTTAAACTTTATTGGGAAAATTACCAGTACCCTAATTTTTTAGAGAAAAAAAGTTTTTCAAAAGTAAGTCAACCTGGTACTCAAAAGAAGTGAAATTTTATAAAAAATTTGAAAATAATTCGTTTTATAAAAATCATATTGCTGAAAAAAATTGTTATTAAAAAACATGTAAAAATGCACCTTTTTCACTTTTAGTTAAAAAACTATAGTTATTATGCAATAAAATCTAATATAATAATTTTTATATGAAAAAATTATTATTTTTTAAATTTTTATAAAATTTCGCTTTATTTGAGTACCTACATCACATAATTTTGAAAAACTTTTTTTTTTGAATAATAATAGGGCATGCTAATTTTTTATTTTTTGTTATAAATAGTGGTACAACCCTCTCTCAACTCTTTAACTCTGAAACACGAACCTTGACAAGCAAGGCCGCTGCGCGGAGAAATTAAGTTGAGCGCGGTACTCCCAGGGACATGGTGGGAGTCGAACTCCGAATCTCTCGCTTACAAAGCGAGCGCTCTTACCACTACACCACTACCACACTAAGTTGCGGGTGGAAGACATTGTTCAATCCATAAAAGTAAATACTTTTCTAAATTAGTACATAAAAAAAACAACTTTCTAGACCATAGCCAGGTTAGCAACTCTAAAAAAAAATTTCATGACCCACCCTAATATATGTATACACATATATATATATATATATATATATATATATATATATATATATATATATATATATATATATATATATATATATATATATATATATATATATATATATATATATATATATATATATATATATATATATATATATGTATATATATATATATATATATAAAATAATCAATGAAATTGCATTTTGATATATTAGGAAATAGTCATAACAGTAAAAACTAATTTTTATATGGAAAATAAGTTGAAGCATTAAGCAGAAAAATATCATACATATAGAACATATTTATCTGAAGTTTAAAATAAAAATTTTTGAAATCCTACAGTCAGATTTTTAGAAAATTGATTTCAAATAAATAAACAAATCTATGATTTACACTAAAAAGGTATTAAATAAAAATAAAGTTTAAGTGCGCTAAGATTTTTATTACGTCTTTTTATTTATATTTTTGTGAAATTATTGTATTATTAGATTAATTTACGTTAAAAATAAGGCTACATCATTGGCTTTTCAGAAATTAATTAACAAATAAATTGTTGCCATATAGAATATTCTTTGTAGTTAAGAACTGTAGCCATTTTAAAAGTTCAAAAATTTTCTGTATTTTCTTACGCATGTGTACCTAAACATAACGCTTTTTACTAATATCATGCAGACCATCATGCAGGAAGGTGGGGGAGGGGTTATTAACAATATATATTTGATATATGTAAAATAAAAAGTTAAAATGGCAACTCAATTGCTTGTGGATTAACTGGACCAGATTAATGTTACAGTTATTTATATTTTATTTTTTGCCTCTTAATTTTCTTAGATTTTTATTCCTTAGGTAGCTCTAGCTAATAATCTTAGATTTTTATTCCTAGGTAGCTCTAGCTAATCATCTTGGATATCATGGAGGTGTGGTGAATGGGTAAAGTTTTAAAATTATTTTTGTCTAAAAATTCATATTATATCATTTTATATTATTTCATACATACCATTTTATATTATATCACAAACTTAATTGTTTTTTTTTTGTTGTTGTTGTTGTTTTGTGTGTGTGTGTGTGTGTGTACTACTTTTCCTTTAATATAAATTTTATTTTTCTAATGCACCATGGTAATGCATTTACATATAGTTGTATAGTTGTAAAAATTTTAAAAACTTAAAAGATTTTACAAATGTCTCAAGGAAACAATAGAAACCCTTAAAACCTAAAAATTTCGAATGAAAGATAAAACTAATTTATAATCCTCTGAAAACTTGTATATTACCAGCAAGCTTGTTATGATAAATGTTATCAATACCTTTGATTTGATCAATTTTTTGGCTTAAAACTACCTCTGATGAAAGTTAAATTTCTGGTGTAAACCAGATTTTTGTATGCTGCATATTTGATACCTAAAGAACCCAAATTTATATATTTGATACCTAAAGTCTGTGCCAGTCACCTAATTGTCATTTTGCTCAGCTCATCCCACAATTCTTCTTTTGTCATTGATGAAAATAAAAATATGTTGTTTTTTTTTTCAACTTTTTCAGTTAGTATTTCATGTCAACAAGTTGGACAATTTAGATCTGATTGTTCCAGAAGTATATGTAAAACAAATTTGATAAAACAAATGTTGACAGATGTTAATTTATTTTAATAAACAGACTTTCATGTCATAGTGTATTGACATAAACAAAACAATCTTTCAATTCCATTAATACTTTACTGGTGCATACAAATGTTACTGGTGCATATGAATGTTAAATTTGGTATTGTTAACTTGTTTAAATATTTATCTACAAAATTTATTTAAAAAAGCAGAAATGTGCAAAAATATTGGTGCACAAAACTGTAAAAATAGAATAAAAATTTGTACTTTAATATCTTTCATATTAATAGGTTAAACAGACTTAACTAATTTTTAACTTAAAACCAGTCTAGATTATAAATTTATTATCCTTGGTGATTTTTAAACTGATTCTTTAGAGAAAGCTTTTGGTAAAGTGTAGTTGTGTTTTATTTCTGCTCAACAAGCTGTTGAGAACAACAAGCTGTTGAGAAAATGTAAAATAAATTACTATTAAGATTTAATATAGATTTTTCTGACTGCTCAGAGAGCAATTATTTTTCTGACTGCTCAGAGAGCAATTATTTTTCTGACTGCTCAGAGAGCAATTATTTTTCTGACTGCTCAGAGAGCAATTATTTTTGTGATGTATTCAACAACTAGCTGAAAATGAGAGTAAGACTTTTGACATACTGGATGATTTAAAGAGTCTATAAAACAAGACAGCAAAATGTATTATATTTATATTTATTTTATATTTAGCATTATCGAATTGTTTAATTTTTGTTATTAAGAAGTAAATGATGTGACATTTTTTTGTGTAATTTTTTGTCAAAGAAAAAAAGGTGCTTTTAGTCAGCCTTTTCATTTAATTGCACAACTGTAAAACCTTTTGTTATAGCCTTGCATAATAACAATAGTTTTATAATATATTTTTATAATTAACTTTAATTTTTAGTTCTGAAGAGTTAAATAGAGTTTCTGGAAAATTTGATTTGCTTGATAGAATTCTGAAAAAACTGTCTGTATGTGGACACCGTTCATTAATTTTTTGCCAGATGACCCAATGCATGACTATTCTAGAAGATTATCTAACATTTGCTAAGATTTCTTATCTACGATTAGATGGGACTACTAAAGCAGATGATCGTTCTGAATTACTAAAAGTTTTTAATGCAAAAGATTCTCCATATCAAGTTTTTCTATTAAGTACACGAGCAGGGGGATTGGGATTAAATTTACAAACGGCAGATACTGTTATAATATTTGATAGTGATTGGAATCCTCATCAGGTACATTAAATACAGTACTAACTAATTTTTGACTCAATACAAACCCACAATTTTTTTTGACATAATATGTTTACACAATTTTTTTTTTAACTATCAGGATCTTCAAGCACAAGATCGTGCCCATCGTATTGGGCAGACAAATGAAGTTCGTGTGTTGCGTTTGATGACAGTTAACTCTGTTGAAGAGCACATTTTAGCTGCAGCAAAATACAAACTTAATGTTGATTCAAAGGTTTATAGTTTACTATTGCTTGATATTTTACTAAATTTTATCTACAGATATTTTGTGTAAACATTTTCAAAATATATTTTCTTGTATTAGGTTATTCAAGCAGGTATGTTTAACCAGCATTCGACAAATGCTGAACGCAAACAGATGTTAAGCAAGTTACTGGAAAGTGATTCTTTAGAAGAAGAGGTTATTCTTTTTATTACTTTTAAAATTTTTTATTTATTTTTTTCATTCAATCATTTTGAATCATCAACTTCTATTAAATTTGAGTAGGAAGAAAGTGAGGTACCTGACGATGAAACAGTAAATCAGATGATTGCGAGAAATGAAGAAGAATTTGAAAAATACCAAGTAAACTTGTATTTTTAGTTTTTGATATTTTATCATAAATTTGCTTATGTTTTTATTAAACTTATTGACTATAAAATTTTATATTATCAGAAATTGAGGTAGTTGAGTTGATAAATTGGTGTAATTGAGTGAAAAAAATAGTTGGAATAAACATTAAAGTATTGTAATATATTTCTTATGTTTGATAGTCAAATATTTAAATTTATTTTCAAAAAAAAAATCAAATAATAGTGTTTCATAGCAAGTGTAATTTTATATATATATATATATATATATATATATATATATATATATATATATATATATATATATAGTGAGTCATAGTGTTTTTTAAATTCATAATCTGTACAGGTGTGCAGTTCATAATGGTGCTTCATTGTATGTGATAATCCATAATAGTGTTTCATTTTATGTGATCTACAATAGTGCTTCACAGGGTGTATAATAGTGAATCATAAAGAATTAACCTAGAACTTACTTTTGAAAGATAATGTTTTAATATTGAGTTGGGCTAGAAGTACTGTGTGTTTCTGTTTTTTTTTACTTCAATGCTTTTTTCAACTTGATTTTTTTTTCTTCTAATTTTGAATTTAGGAAGTTGACAGATTGCGAAACCAAGCAAAGAAGGAGGTTATTTTTTTATTTTTTACATTATTATTATTAAATTTTTTTTAAGTATACATATTCAAGTACATACTCATATAGTTAAGTAATTACAGTTATTGATTAAATGTTAAAAAAAGTAAATAAATGTGATTTAAATAAGTTCATTAAAATTTAATTTTAGCGTGAAGATGCTTTGATAGCAAAGGTAATAATTATGTTATAATTAATTATGTACTATTAAAGGCTTGAATAGTTTGTTAAAGTTTAAATATTTAAGTATTTTAAAAATTCATAATAATCATTTGTAGGATCCTACCTACAAGAGAAAGCCTCGTTTAATGCAGGAAGATGAGTTGCCATCTTGGTTGCTTAGAGATATAGATGAAGTAATTTTTTGATTGTAATTTTATTCTAATTATTTATCCATAGAAGAATCGCAATATCATTTATATATATACAAAAAAAAAACTTTAAGTAAATTTTGATTTTGTCATTTTTTAAAGACATTTTATAGCAGTAATTTTTATACATTAGACCTAGATTGGTGCACACTTTTTTATATAGATATATTTGTGTGAGGGTTGGAAATAGGTGTGTATATATATTTGTGTGTGTTTTTAATTTAGTTTAGCTTACAAGTTATGTTTTTAAAAATAAGCAATTGAAAATGCATAATTCTCATTCATTTTTTGAGCATTATTAATTATTGACTGAATGATTTTGGTTAAAAAAAAATACTCTTATAGATGAATTATTTAAAACATACATAAAATTGTAAAATGTTTTTGTGTTTGTTTTAAATTTAACTGTTTGTTATATAAATAAACTTAAAACTGTTATATAATGAAATAAGCTCATTAATTTTATAACAGTTGAGATTAAAATTTTATAAGGAATTGTTATTGGCATTGAAAAGTTTCAACAATCAACAAACAAAATTAATCTAATATTTAGGTAGCAATTAAATATATTATATTTCAACTTTAATAATTTAAAGAATTTATAATATATGAAAAATGTTTTTCAGTGTAAAATAATATATTTCAAGAATATTTAATAACTTTGGTTTAAAATTTTGAAATTCTAAAATTTCGGAAACATACATTTCTTTATACAATAGATAGCAAGATTAGAGTTTGAAGAAAATGAAGAAAAGTACTATGGTGTTGGAGCTAAGCGCGAAAGAAAGGAAGTTGATTACAGTGATAGTTTAACCGAGCGGCAATGGCTTCGGGTAAAAAAAATTAAATTTGATTGTTTTTTTCATTTGTTTTTTATGTATAGATTTGTTTGCATATCTGGTAAAGCTACTTGACATAAAAATTTTTTATTTTTATAGGCTATTGAAGATGGAACTTTAGATGAAATTGATGAAGAAACTAATATTACCAATATTAAAAAAAGAAAGGGCAGGAAGAAAGAAGATGAAATCGATATAGAAGTTGGACCAAATGGAAAGGCTGTTAAAGTATTATTTATATGTTATAGATTCATTCTATATCATTTATAATTATTAGGCAAAAAAACTTAACATATAATCATGTTTATAGTTTTAAATAGTTTTTAATATATATTTTTTTATATTTAAAATAAGCATTATCAGTTATAGTTGTACTAAGCAAAGTTTAGTGTCTTGTCATTAACAGTGTTTATAAAAGCCAGTCTAGTTTTAAGTTTAATTATGTAATAGATTGTAGTCATCTAATTAATTGAAGACATATAGTTAGTTGTAGCCATGTAATTGGTTGTAACCCTGTATTTGTAAGCATGTATTTGTTGTAACCATGTAAAGAGTTGTAACCATTTAATTAGTTGTAGCCTTGTAATTAGTTGTAATTATGTAATTAGTTGTAGCCATGTAACTAGTTGTAACAATGTAACTAGTTGTAACCATTTAATTAATTGTAACTATTCAATTAGTTGTAATCATGTAATTAGTTGTATCTATGTAACTAGTTGTAACCATGTAATTAGTTGTATCTATGTAATTAGTTGTAATCATGTCATTGTAACCATGTTACTCAAATTACTTTAGGAAAAAGGTCATTAATAATTTTTTTTTAATTAGCAATTTTTAATATTGTAAATATATCTTAATTTTTCATTTTTCGATATATTTTTTTATTCTTATACTAAACTTTTGGGGTAATAACATATAACCAGGTAAAATAAAAATAAAAGCTTTAAATAGGATTGGTTTTTTAATGAAGTTATTTTTTTAGAGTTACAGTTCACTATAACCAAATGGTTTTGTAAATTTCATATTTCCTTATGAACTAGTAATTACAAATGTAATTCATTTAAATTAAAAAAATTCATCCAATTTTAGTATTGAATTTTTTAATTAGTGTTATATATGCTCATACAAAAGTAGATGTAATTTGAGTCATATATGTTTTGCCTAGTGTTATACTGCATATACACATACCCTTAAAGTCATATTATATGACTTTATGTGTATGTATATATATACATATGATGTGTATATATACATGTGTATATATACATATATTATGTTGTGCCTATTGTTATAATGTATATGTGCACATAGATTCATATACCCATATGGTATACAATATGTTGTATATAGTCATAAACTATACATTCAAATATATTTGTATATTTATAGTTGTATTAATAGGTATACTAAAATATAGTTATTATATGGAATATAGTGAAATGTTAATATTTGTGTAACCAAAATCAATGTTTTTGTTAATTTTTGTTTTTAATTTTTAGAAAAAAGGAAAACGTGGAAGACCTGTTGGTACTACAAGTAAGAATTATAAGTTTAAATATTTATAACAAGTTTTAATTATTTTGTTATTTTTCTTTGATTTTAATTGATTTGTAAAGGTTTTTTACATTACAACTATACTTCTATTTAGTACAAGTATACTTTACAACTATGCTTTATATTTTTCAAATTATATTGATGTGGATTTTAGTGCGCAGATTTGATCCAAATCCTCCTGAGTTAACAAAGAAAATGCAAGATCTAATTAAAGCAATTGTACAGTACACTAACAGGTTATTTTTTTATTTTTTTTCATTTAGCACCCATGGTTCCACATATGTGTGATTTGGATAGGTTTCCATTATGCCATTTTGAAAATTAAATATGGCATTATAGAAGAGTTAAAACAAATTTGCAACCAAATAAACTGGTATTAATTAGTTTTGCATATGAGGATTGAGAGGTACTAAGAAGATTATTATCTTAGGTTTATAAGCTCTTTCTATCCTTACTTAATTATGGAGGTTTTGTATTAGAATTTTTCTTGGTAAGTTATCTTCATTGTGGTTAAAGAGCCTCTTCTGCTTTTGCATAGAATCAGTTTAACCTCATGACCAGGGTGGTTGTTATTAAAAATTACAAGCTTTAAAATATAGCTCAATGCATAAAAGCCCTTTCTCCCCCTCCCCCCTTCCTTCTTCTTTCTCCTCAAAAAATTCTTGCAACAGTATTTTTTTATTTTATTTTTTTAATTTGGAAGGGAGATTAGAAAGAGGGGGATTTTACTTCTTGTCTGTAATTTTAAAATGCTATCTTTAGTGAAGGACGCTGTTTAATGGATCCATTTGTTATGTTACCAACGCGCAAAGAACTTCCTGATTATTATCAAGTAATTAAACAACCAATTGACGTTCGCAAAATCAAGGTTTTCTATTTATTTTGTTAGTTTTTGAAATTTATTTTTCAATATATTTTAGCAGTAAATTTAAGTTTTCATTTGTGTTATAGGATCGTATAGCCCAGCATAGGTATAGAAATCTAGATGATCTAGAAAATGACTTCATGATAATGTGTAGAAATGCTCAACAATACAACATAGAGCAATCATTAGTAAATAGACTTGATTTTAAATTACTTTCTAAATTTTTTTTGTGGTTAATGCTTGTGGTTGGTATGGTTTAACATTATTATTTGTATTTAGATTTATCAAGATTCTTTTAAGTTGCAGGTAATTTTTGTTTAACCATCAGACTTTTTTTTACTTTATATACCACTTTGAGTTTATTAAGATTTATGGTTTATCTCATTTAAAGACAAGCATTCAAATAAAATTAAAAAAAACAACTAATTGTTATATTAATTTTAAAACTATTTTATTTTCAAATTTTTAAATTTCGAAAAAAAAAAAAAAAAAACTTCCATATAAAAACATAAAGTGGCATAAAAATATTGATTGGAATTTAAATTTTTGTTGAATGAACATCATTTGATTTGAATGAAAAACTTTTCTTGAATTAATAAAAATGTTTATTTAAAACTATTCTACAATTTTAATTATAACAAAACGCTGTTTTTATGTTGTTCATTACTTATAGAATTTAGTATAATTAATACAAGTAATATGTAAATACATTAAATAATACATATATAGTAATAATTACTAATATAATCAACTAATTGTCAAAAACTCTGAACAGTATTGAAACTAGATGAATCAGTATGATCAAAACTTGATATATCAAAACTCTTATCAAACATAAATATTTAAAAACAATATAAATATTATGCGTAAATAATCTAATATAATAAAAAACATTTTGCAAATAATAAAATAATAAAAGAAAGAAAATTTTCCTTATTCTTAAATTTATTAACATGATTTTTTTTTGTCATTTGTTTAGGCTTTATTTAAAGAATATCGCAACAAAACTGAGGCTGGGGAGAGTATTGGCATTGCTGAGGTTGGTTAGAGTTAGCATTCAAATTTTTCAACATTAGAAGTAAAATTTAAAAAGTTAATGGAAACCGAAGCCTCAAGCTCAAATTATCGCAAGCAAAACATAAAATTCAAACTATCAAAATCATATTGAAACTTTGAAAACATTAAAATCAAAACATTATATTGAAACCATTAAAATAAAATCATCAAATTCAGAAAATTATAATGATTTTAAATGATTTCATCAAAGAATTTAATCTTAAACTATGTGAAAATTAATCTTGTTAAAAAAATAGTTAAAAAAATTTAATCACAATAAAAAATCTTTTAACTTATCTTTTTTTTTTTTAGGAAGACTCTGATAAAGAAACAAAAGGAAAAGGAAAGGTTCATATTTTATTTGTTTTGAAAGTTTTTTTTCTTTAATTTTTGGGTGATTTTAAATTTTGAAATTAAAATTAAAACCCTCAAATTTTCAATAAAATACTAAAATATATACTATAGTTGTCAAAAAATAACATCTTAAAAAAGTTCATATAAATTTAGGGTAGGCGGAGGAAAAAAAATCGTTTAATGCAATTACAAGATAGTGATGAAGAAACCAATGAATCTGGGGGATATAGATCTGGAGGATATAGATCTGTAAGTTTTTCTGTTTTTTAGTTTTCTCTTTAAAATTAAAATAAACAATTAAAAATTAAACTTAAATAAAAATATAATATAATTGTAAAATAAAGAGGTTTTTGAAAAAATACAAAAACATGCATTAAAAAACTAGCCCAAGCTGTCAAGCCCAAGTGAAATAAGGAAAAAATTAGTATCAAAGGAAGGATAACAAAGTTTAAAAGATATATTGAACAGATTATATCTATTATAGCATATAAAATGAACATCTACTATAACATTTAAAGATCAGCAAATGATCTTTAAATGTTATAGTAGATGTTCATTTTATATGCTATAATAAAACAGTTGTATGCTTATCTTTATAGCATACAACTGTTTTACTTATCTATATAGCATACAACTGTTTTGCTTATCTTTATAACGCACAGCTGCAACTAAATCAGCTTGTTTATTTTTATCTGAACTATCATCATTTTATCTGTAGTTAGATTGTAGTTATCTGAAGTTTTCTGTAGTTAGACTGTAGTTAGACTGTAGTTATCTGAACTATCATCATTTTGTTCTGTAGTTAAATTTTCAGTAATTTTTTTTTTATTTTTTCTTCTTTAAGTAGCACTGGTAGTTCCTGTAGCTATTCTTTGCATTTCTATTTAAATCACATCTTCTGACCCTATACTTTTTCCTGCTAGAACATTAAACTTTCTTCTTACATGCTTCATAGTTGGAATATCAGCACTTCTTGATCTTGTCAAAAAGTCAAGACATAATTGATTGACATTCTCATCGAATCACTTTATTGAAACAATCATTTGTGGAAAAGTTTTTAACACTTCTTGTCTTTTTTTAACTTTTCACCCAGATTGCCTTTTTAGCCTTGGCAGCAACAAACTAACAAATCAATCTTTAAATGAGTTATTCTCAAATCACCCACTCTTGGAGCAATTTTACCTTGTGCCAGGTGCGACACCTGTCCATGTGACTTGGCCTTGTAGACCACAAAAGGAGCCAGCAATTCTGTATTACCACAATATATAAGCAATTACTGCGTTACCACAGTATATAAGCAAAATTGACGATTTAAAACTATTGATAATTGTTTCCAGGTATTTTACTCTTTTTTTTCTCATCTGTTAAATTGGTCTTATCGAAATTCCAAATGTTTTCTGCCAGTACATTTTCTGTTTCATTATCAAGATTACCAAAATATTCTGTAACAAATTTAATCATTTTCAAATGTAAGCTTCTACAATAGCTTTTTATTTTTATTGTTTTTTATTAAAACAATAAAAATAAAAAGCAATTGTAAATTTTGCAAAATCTTCTTTCAAGATTGATAAATATTTTTTTAAATTTTTTCTGGTTACGTCTAAACAGACAAAAGTTTTACACAAAATATTTATCATTATTGTAGTTTCCTTCAAATAAAATACATTTTTGATCACTTCTTACAAAAAAAATTTAACTTTTTTTTTTCTTTTGTTGTTACTTGATTTGAGTAAGTTTAAAATTTAATTTTTTGCCAAATGTGGATATAGAGATAAACATACACAAAAATTATACCCAATAAATATAAACAATAATATATAGTATAAGCATATAATTCAATATTATTCACTATATAATAAACAAACAAAAAATGAAGATATAGATAACCATCTTATCATATTCAATAAGTCAATATAAATTTTAAGTTGGATAATTAGTTATGGTAGCTGACAGATGTGAAACTGAAAACAGAACTGCTGTCAAGAAAAATAATATTTTAATTGAAGTTACTATTAGCATTACAGTGCTAATAATTACAAAGTAACTTAGCGATGTCAAAGGAATTAAATGTTAAAATGAAAATAGACTTAAATTTGGAATAGTGAGTGTGTCTGATAAGGTGCATAAGAAAAGATTAAGGCAGTTTGGGCATATAGAGCAAAAAAATTCAGATGATTGGGTATTGGCAGTTAAAAGTAGAAGTATAAAAAACTGAAGGTGGTTGGTGGAAGGTGGTTGGTGTTACAAATAATAAAAAAAAACTTTGGTTAAAGAAAGCAGGTGCTTAAGATAGTATATATTCAGGGATTATCTTTTTTCGAATATTTCCAGAATTCCAGATATTTTTTTTAACTTATAATTTTTTTGGATATCCAAACAATTTCCATGCATACAAGTTTAGGTATATATTTTTGCAAGATATTTGTTTTTTAAGCTTTTTGACTCAACACTCTTTTTTTTTTAATGTAAATAAAAATAAATACACAAAACTAGGTTTAAAATTTTAAAAAAGTTAAAAAAAAGCCTATTATGTGTAAATTGGGATAATTAGTGTCAATTTAATAATCAATACTGCTCTCTTAAAAGATTTGCATAGAATATAATATTCACATTAAAAAAATAGTTCAGTGAACTCTATAAAAGATTTTTTGAAACTCTAAGAACAAAAATATTTTAACTAATAAAGTTGATCGAAAACCATTCATAACAATCAAGTTATTGTTTTTTTATACTTTTGTTAGCTCATTTTTAAAGCTATTTTTTCTAGTATTATCCTTTGACAATGTTTTTTATTTATTTATTTTTTTACATTTTTTAATTTACGCTTTTCTTTTTCCTTTTTATTTTGAGCTTTTTCTTGTATCTTCTTTAATTAGACTCATCTGCTTTCTTAGAAGTAAGCACGCAAAACTTGTTTGCATTATTAGCTTTTTCGCTTGTTGCAAAATTCGCATCTGCATACGGCAAAATATAATCATCTCCATCTCCTAGATAAGATGAATTTTTAAAAAGAAAATTTATGGGAAAAGATTTGGTTTTTACAAAATCAGAAGCTAATTGTATTGAAACTGTAAAATCAATTGCATGCTGATCAATTAGCTGTCCGGTTTTAGATTCAGATGTAATCCTAAAGCTGTCTTGAAACTTACTAGTAAATGCAGCTTTATTACTCGTAGCTTTTAGTTTTTTCCATCTGACAAGTATTGGATTCATGTTAATAAATTAGATTCTTTTAGCAGGCAGAACTGCAAATATTCTAGCTGTTGCTTGTCAAGAAGACTTTCCATCATACTTAGTTCCACTAATCCATCATTGCTATGTTCTGGAATTTCTACTACATTTTTTGGTTCAGCTAAATAGTCATCAATCTTATTTTGGTAATAACATTAAAAGCTGTTAGACTAATCTCATGTTGTTCCAACTTGATATCTGGTATTTTTCTGTTGTCTGTTGATTGATTAATCTGCTTGACGGTTGTTGTATTATCAGTTGTTTTAATTTAATCAAAGAGGTCTGGATTAGCGACTAACCTGTCTTCAGAATACACATAGTTTGACAAGTAAGTTTCAGGCGGAATAATCAAAGGATTATTTGGAAAGATTCCACATTAATTAAAGCCAGATTTGATATTGGCTTTTGTCATACTTTTATCCCAGGCTTTGTTAAAAGTCCTGTAAAATTGGCCATTTTTATTATAACTCTTGGGTAATCATATCCTGGACTTCTTTATTATAAGAAGCTTTGAATGGCTTAAATACAGTTCGATCACAATGTTGAAATCAATTGCTTGTTTGAGCAGGTAATTCAACATTTTTAATTTGGTTTTGCATGACCATATTTATTAACTAAACAAAATTGCGGGAATCATGGCCATCCAAAATTAAAACTTGCAGGCGTTGTGGTCTAATGTTTTTTTAAAATGTAAGCTCAAACTATAGTTTTGCAATTCCTTGTTTAGTCCATTTAGATTGGACTCCAGTTGGTTCCTTCAAGAGCATCTAGAACTTGATAACTTTGAAGGGATTTTACTATCTTCCCTTTTTGAACCATATGAGGTGGTAAGGCTCTTCCATTCACACAAACAATTGAAGTAATCATGTCTCGATTTCCACTGGTTCTTATATGTAAATATTTAGTATCTTTTGCAGAAACAATTTTGTGTGCCTTAAAGTCTGTCTCATCCATGTTCCATATTTCTTCAGGCTGACAGTCCTTAATGACCTCTTTTATTGTGGTAAAATAATTTGCTACCTTTATTGGATTCATGCACTGATGATGGACTGCTGCTATTGATTCTGGTTATCCAATAGGTACTTTTTTGTTATGTTGATTGTTAAGTAGTTGCCACCATTTATTAAATGGTGTACCACTTTTGATTTTTTTTTTTTTGATTTTTTTTGACGCGTTTGTCATCATACACCATCAACTGTTCTTTTCCTAAACCAATGCCCATCCTAGCTCTGTTGTCTGCAAAATCTAGTAACTTTTTTGAAGATCAAGTGGCATTAAACTTTTTCTTCCTGCTTTTGCACAAATCTTAACTTTTCCATTATTCTGCTCTGGATAATTGCTCTGGATAAGTTGCTCAGATTACTTTAATAGATTTAGCAGCTCTAACAGACATTTTAGGTGAACTAATAGATTTAGCAGCTCTAACAGACATTTTAGGTGAACTAATAGATTTAGTAGCTCTAACAGACATTTTAGGTGAACTAATAACACTGTTTATAGCTTCAAGTAACACTTCTTTTTTCCATTTCATATATTTACCTTAAGTTGGATGATATTGTTTCTTATTATGTAATTTTTTTTATTATCAGTCATTCTAAAATGAAAACTTTATATAAAAATTTTCATTTTAAGATAATTTTTAATATAATTTCATTTATAAGCAATAATCTACATAAAACAATATATCTTTCAATTACTTAAACTTTAGTTTATTTTTAAGTGATACCTTCAAATGTTTTTTAAATATTAAGTAAATATTTTTAAAAATATATGCATATTTTTATGATAACTTTTAAGTCATACCATAATACTGCCGCCCTAAGTAAAAACGCAGTAAACAACAAAAATGACATTCTGAGAAAAAGCCACTTTTAAATTTTGTGTGTATATATTTTTTTAACTTACGGCAAAATGAACTATGGGTTTGATGACTTCGGAATATACCACAATATTTTTATATAGAGCGTTATTACACAGAAAACGATGTTAAAACGTTTGGTGCAATAATCTCGATTTTTTAATTTTTGCGATTACTGCGTTTTTTCTTAGGACGGCAGAATATAACATAAATACTTATATTAAAAGAATAAAATCTAATAATATAAATATCTTACAAGTATGAGTTACTTTTAGCCACTCGTGAACCCAATTTCGGCCTTGGCTGGAATAAGGTTTATACATGGTCAGATTTTGGTCTTTCTAGGTGTAGTTAATTCAGAAATGCAATCTACTTAAATAACTCAGCATAATCATAAATTATCTTTTTTAAGAAATATATTTATAATTTAAAATAAATAATACTTCGTTAAGTATTAAATATTTAATATTAATAAGCTTCAAACTGGATGTTTACATGATATTTTAAATCTTAAATAGTACTTTATGAGATAAATATTTGTTATAATGTTACTCCTATTATAAATACCCGCTAAATAAGTTAATGTTGTTATTTTTATTTTTTTTATCGGCTGAGTCTCAAAAAAGTTTTACAAGCATGATACAGAAACCAAGACAGAAATATTAAATTTAAAATGTGGCTGGAATTTGATCAATGGCTCAAAATTGGTCACTGGCTCGAAATCGGTCACTTTACCATATAGAGTAATCTCTCCAGTGATTACTTTGCGTGTAATTTTTATACTACGGTTTTATAATAGCAATAAAAGTTCTAGCAATAAAAATTCTAACCCATAAAGTGCAAAAATTTTCAAGAATATTAGAGGAGATATTTAAAATCAAAAACAAAGTTGTGAAAGTATGCCCTTAAATGATAAAACAACAACAAAAAAAAATGATTTTCTTATTCTATCTATTTTCTTAAAGAAAATGTTTTTTGTTCAAAAATGTTTTTCAATCATAAGGTTTTTACAATGTTTTAGTTTTTACACTGCAGTGCATTGTAAAAACTAAAACAAAAAAAGAAGTTACTAAGGTGTTATCTATTAGAAAAGGGATATGATTGGGAATCGTCCATAAAGTACGTACGTTCGGAACGGAAGAGGGGGTTGAAAATGGCGTATATGAGATGGGAGGGCAGTGAGCCAATTAGAAAAGGAGACACTAAATTAACACTTTTCCTACAGCATTAAATCATAAAAAGTTGGGTAGGTAGGTTAAAAGTGTAGATACCTTTTAGGGAGTTGGAGCATACTTAAAAAAGCGTATTGCAAAATGTCTGTGTGTAGGGGGGGGGGGGGGTTGAAGTAAAAGCGTATGTACTTTGTGGACGACCCCTTGGCTAGTAAGAAACTAAAAGAAAAAAACAAAATGTTTAGATTTTTAAAAAAGTTTTGTTAAAAAATAAAATCTGATGTAAAATCCCTTTTTGTTCCAAAAAGTAAAGGTTTGAATTGCTCTTGCATCATAGTTTAAAATAAGTTCTCCTGCAGAGCCTTTCAAGCTTTCAAGCTTTTTTACTTAAACATAAAGTACGAAACTATCAAGTTGTTTTATGTTCAAAATTGACATATAAAAGTCATGTTCATCCTCCCAAATTATACACTCTAATTAAATGAGTGTGACAGACCATCGTTTCCTTAATTTTATGCATAATTTTTTTTAGGTAAATACTTATATTTGTACTATAAAAATATCTATATATACAAGTATATATATATATATATATATATATATATATTATATATATATATATATATATATATATATATATATATATATATATATATATATATATATATATATATATATATATATATAGGGCCGATGACACAGGTGGGGTACGTGAGCCCCCCCCCCCCCTACACACGCTTTTTTTCTAAAGGGCCTTTTTTTTTTCTTAAATAATCCTAGATATAAAGGACTTTTTTCAGAAATTGACAATTGTGTCCCTCAGTTTGAAACCCGTGTCGTCGGCCATGATGTGTGTGTGTGTGTGTATATATATATATATATATATATATATATATATATATATATTATATATATATATACATACATATATACATATATGTGTGTGTGTATGTATATATATATATTTATATATATATATATATATATATATATATATATATATATATATATATATATATATATATATATATATATATATATATATATATATATATATACATATATACATATATGTGTGTGTGTATGTATATATATATATATATTTATATATATATATATATTATATATATATATATATATATATATATATATATATATATATATATATATATATATATATATGTATATATATATATATGTATATATATACATATATACATATATATTTATATATATAAAAAACAATTACATTAAAGAAATTGAAGTATGGATAGAAAAGAAAAGGGCTTCAAAATTGGTTCACCAAAATTATCGTCGCCCCTATGTCTGTTCAAGACAAAACTGTTAAGAAACTGAAAAATTGAAATTACTAAAAAATGAATAAATAATGAAAATTATGGTATATTATTTTAATTGGTTTAAAGAAGTAGTTTAAAGAGATACAAGTGACTTGAAAAACTTTTGCTCAGAAATTTTTATACTTAACTGGTTTAAAGATAACTTATACTTATCCTTAAACTTAACTGAGTTTTTATGTAGTTTTTATTTAATGTTTATTTATCATTTTTTACAATTACTTGTTTGCAGGACTCCGATTATGAAGATACGCCTGCTTCTTCTGCAGTTTCTTCACCAACCCCTTTCAATACCGCTTTGCGACGCAAACAATCAGCAGTATAAATCTTTGATGAACAGTTCGCAAACATTCGCCTCTCAATTTTTGGTTTTCAGGATTTTTTTAGTTTTATTTTTGTTATTGTAATTTTATTAAAACCATCTCTTAATATATTATTCAATTTCGAAAATTTCGAGAGGATACATGAAGTTTTTATTAATTTCAGTTTTAGACATATCTACATAATTGTAGGTTTACATTTAATATTTTAAAAGCGGAAACATAGCATATGCATTAAATAATAATTGTTAAGTTAGTAAAAGGTTATTTATAACTTTAAGTATAAATTTTACCTTTAGAAAAAAAAGTTGAATAAAATTTGCATGAAATGTTGAATAATATTTGCATGAGCAAATGCCAACAATTCTTTCAATATTTATCAAACCTTTTTTTCGAACTAAATTTTTTAAACAAACTGTTTGAAATCACTAAATAAAGTTAGGCAAGCGTGGTTCTTAAAAATATATATATTACTGACTATAGTTTCATTAGCTAGTGTTATAATGCTAAGACAAACACTTTCCCTACAGCATTAAAGAAAAAATTTTGAGCACTATAGCATTAAAAAAAAAAAAACTATTGAGTTTTCAACAAAAACGGTTCAAAACGGCTTTTACAGTCAATTCCTATGTTAGCCACTTTCCTCCTTTTAGATTTTACCCATCGCATTTAAACGTCTGGAGACAGTTGATTCATTAGCTTCTAAGCTATCTCATAGTTCTTTCAGAGTTTGAGCTGGTTTTTCATCCATTAATTCTTGCAATCCATTGTCATTTTTTTGGTCTTCGTACCCGTTCTTTGTAAATGACATCAAAATTACCACTTTTAAATCGTTGAAAACCAAAATTGAAAATTAGGGTATGACTTGCCAGCATCACCATAAATTCAAATCAAACAACAAAAGTAACGAGTATTAAAAATCCAATTTAGAGACTTAGGGTCTGCTATTAAGAGACTTAAAGTCTGCTAACACTAAATAACTCAATACTAAATGTACAACTGTCAGACAAGTCATACTTAAATGGACAATTGCCAAGACCATTTTTATTTAAATATAATGGACCATTGACCATGGATCATTTTTAATTAAATCATATATTTACCTAAAGATGTCACTTATCAAAATTGACGCAAACACCTAGTATATAATATGAGATCAACTGGTCAAGGGCATAAAATTAGGGTATAAAAACAAAGACTATAAAATTTTCCTCATTAATGAACCTTCCAAGTCTATTGAGTTAAAAAAAAACAATGTTTCCGTAAAAGATATTACTGATGCTATTGCTACAGTTCCTAAAGAAATGATATTTAGAGCAGCAAAAGAAGTAAAAAGTAATGGCTACGACGTTGTTGATACTGGAGTTTGGAACTTGGCAACGTAGACGGTACAGTTTACTGAAAGGAGTTGTGACAACATGGTCTATACAAAAATGAAAAGTTTTAGATGTTGATAATGATCGACCGAAATAGAAAAAGAGCCGAAACTAAAATAAACCAAAATTTCAGGTACTCGAATTCGGTGCCTAAACCAAAACCGACAAAAGCAAACATTTTACCGAAACCGATACCGAATTTCGGCTTGTCAAAATTTATTTTATTAGAAAAATTTATTTAAAAATGCAATTTTACATTGTTGTTTTTTTATACTCGTATTATGTTAGAATTAATTTCTCGTGTATCCCAAATTAAGATTTAATACATAAGTTGGCGATATAAGTTAATAGCGAAATTGACAATTGGCAGATTTTCTCTGTAAAACAAGCTTTTTTTTGAGGTATTTTGTGAAAATTCTCAAAATATTTTGTGAAAATTCTAAAAACTAATTGTTTTTCTAAATTATATAAAAATCGGTTTTTGGATGTTTTTCAACCGAAATTTCGGTTTTTACCGAGTTTATAAAAAATATCGAAACCGAAATTTCGGTATCGGTTCGAATTGAAATTTCGGCCAAAACTGATACCGCAACAGAAGTTCAGTCGATCACTAGATGTTGAGCTAACTAGTAGATTATGTAAGCAATATTAAAACGTGAAAATCTAAAATCTAAGAATCTAGATTAATAGAAATTCTAAATTAATAGAAGTCTCAGTTTTTTTTTAATTAAATATTTTAGGTGCCCTAAGAAATCTATGCGATCTTATCACAGAGCACCATGGAAGAGCATTTTAAAGAAAGCTCACGTCTCCTTTCTTACCAATGTTATTAAACTTGCCCAGAGGTGGCGTTGTACCACGGATCTATAGTACCTGAGGCAAGCTGTAATTTATAGCAATGTAAGTTGTATTGGTTCAGCAGGAAGTATGAAAGTGGACTGGAGACAAGAGTATATTTAGTAGTTCTATCAAAGAATATGGATTGCAGAATATTAAACTTTATGAAGTTGATGACAGTAAAAGCTATTCAAACGTGAAATTTACTTATCCTGGTATTGAAGTTGAAAACTTAGATTCTTTAGGGCATTTCAGAAGTAAGCTGGGACACATCTAAGTATATGTTAAAAAATAATGAAAAACTTCTGATGGCGTTGAAATTTAACAACCTTGCTGATAAGTTTAAAAATTATTATAGGAATGCGGAAAAAGTAATAAAGCAATCTACAAGGTATGAAGAAATCTATTTATGCTATACTTTTTTGTGTTGCTTTATCAAAAAAAAAAAAAGAAGATAAAGCAATAAACAAACCAGGTACAAGACTTCCTTTATCAACTATAAAATATTCAAAATCAATGATATGAGCAAGAAGTTTCAAAAAAAAGTTATTTTTGTTGTTCAGCATAGAGTGGTCTCATCTGAGCTTTTACATAGTTTGAAACGCAGCTACAAAGACCACCTTAATACAACATTTCTGTTTTAATACATGTCGTTGTCACCCAATTGTTGACGTCATGAAGAATGATGATTGACTCATAAGTAAGTAGGTAACGGGGTACCCGCGCGTTGGTTACTGCCATTTTTTTTAAATTTTAAAACCATTAATTGTAATATAACACAATTAGGTATACGAAAAGAGAACTTGAAAATCTTATTGCTAAAAAATTTCTATAATTACGATTTCTTTACTACCATCAGAAAAGTTGTTTGCGTTTCTGATTCAGATACCTGCTTATTATTATAGAATGGTTATTATTATTATAAATGTGTACAATCTTTTCCTTAATGTAAAACAGAAATTTACTCAATTTGTTTATTAATTTAACTCTTGGACAAAAATCCTTTAAAATCTAAAAGATGGAATATACAATTATGTTATTTTAGCATAATTATATAATTTAGATAATTATGCTATTTTAGCACACAAGAACATACATGCATGCAAGAACATGTGCATACATGCAACTTCAGTATCATCAGAATACGATTTGTCAACTTTTGCGTATGTGGTTAATCGGTTAATCTACTTCGTACATCTTTGGCACCCGAAAGAGTGGAGACACTCGTATTTCTAAACCGTATAAGGACTTTTTTAACTTGGAAACATTTTTTTTGCTGTATAAATTTATTAAAGCCGTAAAATATCGTATTAATACAAATAGTAGGGGTCAGAGTAAGACACATTTGTCTTATCAACAACGAAACATTTATTTTATCAGCCCCATAAGGCAATTGAAGTAAAATAACATTTAGAAGTTTAACATTTATAACATTTTTAAGTAAGTATTTAAATAAAAAATATATTTAATATAATCATTAAATTAAAAGTTTTTTTTTGACTGTTTATAAGAACAACCTTTATATAAAGTACAATTTTTTAACGGGTATCCGGGTACCTACCTGTTCTATCAACGGGTACTCGAACAGGCATTTTCAATTTTTATTTTGTTTCGGTGGCTCAATCCATCTAATTAGGTTGGTAGCATTGACTGTTTGTTTCAATATTCTTTTTTTATCTTGCAACCAATAAACTACATGTCTAAAACATCTATTATTGTGTACGAGTCATAAACTTGTTTAGCTAACTTGTTATCGACTTGTGTGTCTTTTCATCAGTTGCATTTTAAGACTTTGTTGCAAACGAATGTTTAATATCGTTACGTTGCTTCTGCAAACGATAGAGCGAATATTTAATATTCATATTTTGATGCTATTTTTATCTTGCGTCTCATTCGTAACACTTGTTTGGTTTTGTCATTTTTGGTATCCCACTAAAATTTTTTCATGCTCGTTTTTCAAATCTATTCAAATCTGAGATTTAACACCAACATCACCATTTAATTACATCATCTCAAAGGAGGAGTATTATGCAGAAGCTTGTTATTTATTTGATAAAGAAAAGCCCCACTGGCTTTCACCGGTCCAAAAGCTTGTCCCAGTTTTTTGCATTGTTGTTAAGGAGCTTTGTTAAATATTTATTCAATGGTTGGTTGAGCCTTGTAATCATTGGTTGGTTGTGCAAGACAAATAAATTATTTTTTGTAACTGTTGTAGGCTAAATAATAATGTTTTAAAGCTAAATAATAATGCTACTATTTTAAACGAAACACAAGTTAATAAAAGTATTGAAATTATTTTTAAAAACTAAAAAGTTTAAAAAAATAACCATTATTCGCCTTTCAGCCCATCAGATTGGGAATGATATTCTAATGCTTTTGAGGCTTTCATACCTGGTTTAAATAAAAGATTTTAAGTTAAATCTTGTTGCAAAAATAATGTTACAAGCCTAAAAATTTGAATATCAGACAAAGAATAAAAGATGAATAGAATCCGAATACACTGTATTCGAATGTACTTCTTTTAGTTCTTTTCTTTTTTCAACGGATCAGTTAAATCTATTTCCCAGCGGCAAAAAAAGTTGTGAACTGGGATTAAACACAACGAAGCAGGCGATGGTTTGTTGTTAGGATTAGCACGTTTATATTCAGAGCAAAATCCAAAAATTTGGCGTATGTCTTTTAAAATCAACTTTAATCGATACTTCTCAGTTGCTTTTTTGATGGTTGCGTTTTACCCAAAGTGACATCATTTATCTATGTAACTATAGAAAGTTCGTATACCCAGCTAGCACACATACATTGTTAAAACATTAGAACAATGTTGTGCGTTTCGTTGGCCCAACATTGGCTGCCAACGTTGTTTTTATATCATTATGGTTAAAAATGCGACGTCGCCAACAAATAAAAACCAATGTTGATAAAACGTTTTTTTTAAAAACGAGAAATGGTTATGTTTTCTACATTGATACACCGTTTTATTTTAAACGTTGGCACAACGTTGTATTTTACGTTGTTTCAACGTTGTATTTTAAGTTGCTACAACGTTGTATTTACGTTGATTCAACGTTGAACTTTAATTGGCAAAACGTTGTATTCAATATTATTCGGAATTATATTTCTATTTAATTCTATTTTCTTTATATATATATATATATATATATATATATATATATATATATATATATATATATATATATATATATATATATATATATATATATATATATATATATGATATATATATATATATATATATATATATATATATATATATATATATATATATATATATGTTTAAGTATAGACCACTGTAGGACCTTTCTATATTTTACGTTCCAAGCGAGAAGGGGGGAACACCATCAGTTATGAAAAGGGTAAATGCTTGATCATCAAAACAAAAATCATGTTTGTGTTGATTGTGGTTTGATGTTATAATAATCACAAAAGATTTTATTTAAGTTATATAATTTCGCAATAGCACTGTTTGGTCGCATACATTGGATCAACGTTGGGTTTAGTTCGTAAAAACAATCAACTTTTTGCGATGTATTTACATACATTGTAAAAACGTTGATTTATATACATTGAATCAATGTCGAGATATATACATTGGATCAGTGTTGGGTTTAGATCGTAAAAACAATCAAATTTTTGCGATGTTTTTACATACATTGAAAAAACGTTGGTTTATATACATTGGATCAACGTTGGGTTTAGATCGTAAAAACAATCAAATTTTACGAATTTTATACATATATTGGGAAAACAATGCTTTATATACATTGAATCAACGTCGAAGTATATACATTGGATCACCATTGGGTTTAGATCGTAAAAACAATCAACTTTTTGCGATGTTTTTACTTACTTTGGACCAATGTAAACTTGCCAGATGTTTTTAGTTCTGTTGGTAATAATTTTATCATTAACCAAAGGACATTGGATCAACGTTGGTTTGGCATTGGAAAAAAGAGACGACATTTGCGATGGTTTTACATACGTTGGCCCAATGTAAGTGTGCTAGCTGGGATAATACAGTTTTTTTGCAATTACAACTCGTTGTAGTCATATTTCATTATTAATGAGAAATAACTCTGTATGTACTAACCGAAAGGGATCTGCTTTCTTTCAAAGTTTCTTTTTATTGTCCTTTGTATACTTCAAAGAATATTTCTTCTTCCTGAGATATAAAATCAGAACCTCGCTTTCTTCTTTCTCCAAATCCTTCTTTTAAATAATTTATATTTGTTAGATGTTTTTACTTTTATATTACTAGTTAAATAGGCATAAGTGGATGAAGACGTTATGCTACTCAAATATGGAACTGAGATATCTGGAGTTAATGTTTTGAACACGATGTTCAAGATATTTTTCTATATGTAAATATTTATGAAGTATTTCTACAGCTTTATATGTAAATATTTATTTAACAGTATAGTAATCAAAATTACTAATTTTAAGTAATCAATCCTTACTAATGGATAAAAAAGTCTCTTAACACCTTTATCTAAGTTATGCATTGTTGTGACTGAATTGATGTGTAACTTCTTCACCCACTATAAAGATGGTGTTTTTGCAAGTTTTTGTGCGTTGTTAATAAGTTCATGTGAAATAGCACTATAATGCTATAATGATATATATAATAGCATTATAATGCTATATAAATAAAGGTACACCTTTATCTGCGTAAAAAGTGGATACTTGTGATTTTGCGATGCTTTTATCCACTTATGTTTTTAAATAAAAAAATGCTAATAATTCTTATTCCTTACTGAAACCAAATAACTTTAAATTATGTATGTACGTACGTATGTATGTATGTATGTATGTATGTATGTATGTATGTATGTATGTATGTATGTATGTATGTATGTATGTATGTATGTATGTATGTATGTATGTATGTATGTATGTATGTATGTATGTATATATGTATGTATGTATGTATGTATGTATGTATGTATGTATGTATGTATGTATGTATGTATGTATGTATGTATGTGTGTATGTATGTATGTATGTTTGTATGCATGTATGGATGTAAAAATGAATGTTCGTTCAACCAGATTTTCTGCTCCGCGGTAACACATAACTTTGAAGAAGACGTTTTCTATAAATCTTTTGAATGTTCAAAAAAAGTCTTTTGAGAATCAAAGGCGGCCGAACATGTTACAGAGATGTAAAGTTGTGTTTTGGATATATAAAGTGGTTTTGCATGTTTTACTAACAATTTAAAAACTGCCGCCATTTTATATGTAGAAAACTAGGAATTAGAAATAATTTACTTAATTAAAAGTCAATTTATAAATGAATGTTTTTTTCTCAATTTACCTACCCAGTGGGCATGCGTCACCGTAAGGACATCCATAACAGGTACAACGGATGTCTCTAGAAAAATGCGTGCCCAACGAACGTCATCAACGGTTACTTAAACAAAAAGCTCTACGATGACTACGATTTTCAGAGAATTGTTAAAAAATTTAATTTTAATGATTAGAAAATATTGCAAAATTAGAATTTTAATGATTAGAAAATGTTGAAAAGTTTATAATGAATTTACCTTGATTAATAAATGGTTTATTATAAAATTACCTAGGTTCGAATCGAATAAATGGAGATTTTTTGAAATAAATCTCGAATCACTTTTCCGATTCAAATGTAATATCGAAGTAATATTGAAGCTTTGTAGAGACCTAATATGTATGTATACATGTATGCGGTAGTGTGTTAGTGTGTGAGCAGTTCACAATCAAAGTGAATTAAAGTTAAATTCCACTAAATAACTCTGAAAGCAAAATGGTCAACCAGTTTCCCTCAACTGTAGTGGCCCCTTCTAAAGCCTTGGAGAATTGAATTTTAGAAAGAAAAAAAAAATGCATAAACATGTAAAATATGTTTTTTACTAAAACTTAAAAAAATTATTACCCTCATTTTACAAATGAAGTTTAATTATATACAATATTGGAAAAAAAGTAAACATAATGACTTAAATTACATGTTTTGTGCGAAGTTATACTATGTAAAATCAATTCTACTAATTTTCACAAACGTAAACAGAAAACGCTATGCATTTTCTTCGACGCTACCTCTCTTTATTTTAAATGTTATACACAAAATATTTTAAATCTAAAGTATAATATAAATAATCAAAAACTTTTATTTAGAATATATATTTATAAAAAAAACTCGCGCTAATAAACTATATTATTTCAATACCCAGCAAACGTTGTTTTAGTGGATATATATATATATATATATATATATATATATATATATATATATATATATATATATATATATATATATATATATATATATATATAGATGGATATAGATAGATAGATATAGATATAGATATATATAGACCACTAAGTATCGGATGAGCAAAACTACAGTGGGCCGCCTAAAATGCATGTATAGATCCACTGAAATTCCGCTAAAGGGTGTTTGCTGGGTAACTTATTATTTTTTATATAACGTAGATATTAGGATTTATCCTTTTTATAATGTAGTGATTTGGTTGACATAGTTTCATTTTCCATGATCCTCGTGGATAATGAAATTATGATAATTCCAAGTATAACTTAAACAGATGAAATTATCATCAATTGAATAATCGATTATTTTGTAAGAAGTAATTTCAGGGGTTTGTTACTGAATCTTCCTTTGATTTTCCGCAGCTAGCATTATGAATTTTCCAGTCTTTTGCCTGAATTAAAAGTGTCAACAGCGTAAAAAAAAAACTACATCAAAAGCAAATAGTTAAAAAGGTAAAAAAAATCACAAAAAATGTATAAGTATCATATTTCACCTGACATGCTTGAGTACAATACCAAGATTTTAAACATCCTGAACATATAAATTGGGATGGCTCGCCGCATACGTTGCATACTTTTTTTGCTTTTTTCAGCACTGGCTCATAATCGACCTCGGATTGTTTACAAGAAACCTTTTTTTCATTAACTTGTTCGATTGTTAGATTCTGATTAAGTTCTTTTGACGGGCTACGTTGATAGGAATGAGGTGCTTGGTAGCTAGAATCGATAGCATGGCTTGGAAAGTTTTCTTTAAGCTTTGTTTTAGATCCATGATTTTTTTGATTTCTAATTAGTTCTGCATTTTTCAAAGCGTCGAGTTCATACTCTGTCAACCTTGAAGGGTCGGAATTTTTATTTAGTTGATGTTTATTTGTTTCGGATAAATATGTTTGGTTAACCTTTTGCAACGAAGTTGTTTTCATAATCTCTTCTAATCGAATGGTTTGTAAAATATGAATGTCTCTTTCAATTTCAAGGAGATGTTGTCTCCTTGTTAATTCTTCGTGTAATAATGCGTTATGAGTGTTTGGGAATACTGGCGATTCTTGAGGCGCAACAGTTAAATTGTGTTTATTATTTTCTAACATTTCTGTAGTAACGCAGTCATTTTGTGGAGCTGCATAACGTTTATTAGTATTGTATAGTAATGATAAAGCGTATTTTGACAAGTTTGGTAATTTTAATGCTTGAATGTTTAATTGCTCTCGTAGTAAAATGCTTTCCAGTTCTCGTTGTTTAAGCAACTCGTGTTTTTGGCGAAGTAATAAATCAGGTGCAATATCTGACGGTACTTGGATTTGAGGTTGATTTATTAGTTGACTATTGACCTCTTGTATTCTTGGTAAAACACTTTCAAAATGGCGGTATCTTAAGTTGGCTTCAGATAAAAATAGATCTCTGGCCACTAACGATTGTGGTGTTACTTTAATATAACTATTTATGGGAGAAATATATCTGAATGGGTGTTCTTCAGTAAGCTCGTTATATTGGTTAATAGAACAAAGTTTATTAGGGTTACCAGGTAATGGTTGGTTAAGCATATTTGAATATCTTTTTATAAATAAATCTTCTGGATACATATTCTTGATATTTGCAAATTGCACTTGTTGAAGACGATTTTCGTTTACTTTACCATTCATTTAAATTTTAACAATAAATATTTTTTCTGAAGCAAACCTAATGAATTTTATACATAGCTGAATATACATTTGTATTCTACATTTTAAAAAGACATGCAACATAACATTACTATATTTTAAAAGACATGCAGCATAACATTACTTATGTAGTTTTATACACCTAAAAACATTTCTTTTGGTTTTAAACAAATTATTAGGACTTATTGTAAAGTGTAACTTTGTAGATATAAATAAACCTCTATGGAAATGGAGCATCTATGGAGCATTTCCTTAAAACAAACAAGTTAAACTAAAATTAAACAAGATTTGATTAATTATTAAAAGTGGTGACTCGGTCTTAAATTGTAAATATGAGCTAATCATAAATAGTCCTTTTATAATTTTTATAAAAGACCTGGTTTTAAATTGTCTATATGGTTTGATTTTATATGGTCTATGAGATGGTTTTATGCGGTTTTTATAAGATGGTTTTTGATCGTCTATGTTTTTAAGACGGTTTTAGTTTTTAAATTTATTATTTCTTTTTTATGTAAAACGTTTTTAAGACTAATTAATCTAGTTTTAAAAACAAAAAGTTTTAACTATTACTGCTATTACTTTAATAAGCTATTACTTTAATCAGCTATTACTTTAGGATTTTTTCCTATTCTTACAATAGTAATTACAAAACAAAAAACACGTTTACTTTTTTTTAAGTTATACAATATTTTAGTTCTTTTCATATCTCATTGCTCTTTTTTAGAAATATTCAATTGAAGCTATTTTTATTTCGGTATTTTTATAAGCTACTCTTTATAGTAGATTCAATGAGATAAAACCGTTGAAAACGAATTAAACCCCACCTTTTTTTTTTTTTTTCTTTTTTTTCCAAATAAAATTGTAAAACGTTTAAAAAAAGAGTCTAAAATATCTTTAGAGCGTCAAAATATATTTTGATGAAATTTGAAATTTAAATATTAGTGCAATTGTAGTTGCAACTTTCCTCGTGACAAATAAATCTTTTCGGAAGAAAAAATATTTCGCCTCTACCTCTACTCTACACACACATGCAAAAATAAAAAATTTAAAATTTATAAAAAATGAAATGACGCAAACATTGTTTTAATAATTATAATTTAACAAAAAAAAGTATTGTACTTTTTCAATATAAACATATTCTTGAAAATCTTCTTACAATTCCATTGAACTGTATTCAACAGCAATTTCTTCTAATTTTTCACTACATTTTTTTTTACCAATTTAGATTTGTATGCATTGTTTCTTAAGTTTATTCTATTATAAATTGAAAAATTTATAAAAAAGTGGAATCTCCTGTCTATTAAGATACTCTTTAAGATTACAATCTCATCGAAATGTATTCAACAACAACAGATTCTAATTTTTCACCATTTTTTATCAATTGAGATTTTTATGCACTGCTTCTTAAGTTTATTCTATTATAAAATCAAGTGGAATCTCCTGTCTCCTGTCTCCTGTCTATCGAGATACTCTTGATAGGAGATTCCACTTTCACTTGTAGAATATATTAAGTTTCATACCAAAACATTATTCAGCAACTTAATCTAACAATGGCAAACAAATATTAACTTGCTGAAAAAGAATAAGCTTTTTTAAAGTTAGAGTTTCATTCATTGCACATGTTCAAATAGAGAATGGCGAGTAATTTCATCTAAAATTTTAAAACTTTAGCACAGTTAGATCCATTAAACTCATCATCATTGTAGCCATGCCAACAGTTTTTTTTAAAAGAAACTTCTTCAGATTTTTATCAGTGAAGAGAAAATCAACAGTTTCACTTTAATAATTATAATTAACATTAATTATAAAATTACAGTTCATTAATATGGTATTCAGGTGGTGAGATTATGTTAATAATTTTCTCAGTCAATTTCGTATTTAACAAACTAGTTAACTACATTTCTGTTCAAAATTTGCATCACATTTTAATTTAAGATAAGAAAATTAGATACTTATTGATAATCCAAGGATGAAAGTTTTTTCTATAAAATAAAGGTAAAATTTAATTTATTGAATTTGAAGGTGTTGGATAACTGTTTTCAGAATGTGATAAAAGTTTTCTTTATATTTTTTATACTATACATTAGTATTGTGCTATACGAGTTTAGTATTGTGGTATTCGAGCCTAACATATTAAATCAATAACAACACGCAAAAGAGAATTAAAGAAATGGAATTTCCTAAAGTTGCAAATTCCTAAATTTTTCTGAAATTGAAAAAAAAGATTCCTGAAAAAAAAAAAAAATTTATGAAAATTTTCTCTACTTTGGTATAGGTCAATAGAATAAACTACATCTTTTTTTAAAAGATTTCTACAACTCTTAAACTAAAATTTTTTGAAATTAAAAAACTTCCACAGCTTTACTGATAACCTTTGAAATATATTTGTTTTTCAACTCCAGTCGGGTCGGAGAGAATATATACAAAAAGATGCGTTTTTAACGGTTTCTTATTCTACTGAAAAAAGTGGCTTAAAAAAATCGAAAGAAAAATTGCTTCAACTGAAAACCTCTAAAAAAGAGCAGTGATCAATTTTTTCCAAAAAAACTCCAAAGTAAGTTAACTTGATTCTCAAACAAAACAAAATTAGGTAAAAACTAGCAAAGTTTCTTTTGAATAAAAATAAAAATAAAATTTTAAAAACTTTAAAGCACCCATTTTTTGCAAAAAAATTTGAAAAAATAAAATGTTTATTTAAAATCGTTTTTAATAAAACGGAATATACTTCAAACCATAATTACACTTATCTAACTACATTCCATATTGACACACATTTGAAAAAATATTTTATAATTATCATTTTTCATAGCTCTAAGTTTAATTCTTTCGTTAAATTTAAGTTTCTTTTGTTGTGATTAAAATCTATTTTGATTTAAATTAAAATCATATATATATATATATATAATATATATATATATATATATATATATATATATATATATATATATATATATATATATATATATATACATATATATATATATATATTTATATATATATGTATATATATATATGTATATGTATATATATATACATATATATATATATATATATATATATATATATATATATATATATATATATATATATATATATACATACATATATATATATATATATATATATATATATATATATATATATATATATATATATATATATATATATATATATATATATATATATATATGTATATATATATATAATTTTCTCGCAATAAGGTATATTAATGAAATTTTAAACATTATCTATTTATAAGCTCGCATAAATAATAAATAATTTAATAAAAATGAAGCTGGGTGTTTTCAATCAACGCTAGTTTTCCCTTACTGAATGATTCATTGACTTCTGTATTCCCATTTTAAATAGATAACTGAATTAAATACAATTTGAGTTGCATGACAATATTTTTCAAACAGCTTCAATCAAGTTTAATTATTTATACGTATTCTTGCGTCTTTTTATCCTGTATTCACAATAGTGCATAAACAATTTTTAGACATTTGATTAAAATAGCACCCTTATTAATTTATGCATTCGATGTAAAAAAAGTTATTTTTAAAAGTTTGTAAATATATAATTAAGCATTTATTATATATTTACAAAATATATTTAGGCCGCCATTGTCGGGCTGTTGTTTCTAATTGTATTCGTACAATTTACTATTTCCTGAAAACTTTCACCCGAGAAAAAATCTCATAAGTACATAATTGTTTCATATTGGATCCCGTCTCGATTCTAATTTTTAATTTACAATCCTTCTAAAAATGCTTACTTTAAAGTAATTTTATTCTTTAGAGAATAAAGCCACTTTAAAGGTAAGTTTTTTTTAGGAGGATTGTAATTAAAAATTAGATACAATACGGGATCCAATTAATCGAAATTTTTTTTTTTAAATAAAAAACTTTCCGATTGCTCTAACAAACTGTTGATCTACATTATGGTTTTATTTTTGTAAATTCTTGGGGATTACATTGAAAAGTGAATTTTAAATTAAAAAATAGTTTTTTTTTTAGTTATTCCATAATCAATAGTTTCTTCCAACATATTCGACACACACAGACAAAGCATGTGTCTCATACTTATATATGCAACACACACACAAGTCATACAGCACAAAAAAAATATAAATTTACAGAAAAAGAATAAATATAAACAACTAACCAGAATATTATCCGTTTTACTTTTTCTCGCTACCATCAGTTTTAAAGCAATGTAGAAAATTTAATTTTAAAAACGTATTAAACTGCGTTTAATTATTATTCAAGTTTGATAAATTTCAAAATAATCAAAAGAAAACTTAATAGAAATATACAATTCATTGGTATTCAATTTAAATATCTTTATTGAATATTTTACTGAATTGACGATATATTTTCTTTTCGATGTGGCGCTTTAAACATGGAAACAGCATTCAATCTATTTCGGGGAACTCAATGCTGATTCAAATGAAAAAAAGTTTACTTTCACCAACAAGGTTGTTTGCCTCGCACTTATAAAAGCATTAATCTGAGATGCTTATACGTTTATACACTGTTCTTACTAATGAAACACGTTTTATTTTAAAAACGTAATAAAAGTATAGTAAAAAGCTGTATATCAAAGTTGTTTTGTTAATATAAAAAGTTTGAGCTTACAGTTTTTAACATTAAGAATGATAAGCATGTTTAAAATAAAATGCGTTTTACTGTCTGTATAAACGGGGTATTATTAAAATAACGTCACTGAAACGTTACTTCGAAGGATGCCTATTAAGTACGTAAAAACATTTCGGGAAGAAAGGAAACTGATAAAGAAAGGAATCGAATTGGAGGAAAAGAAAGCACAATATAAATTGACACCACAATGTCCCAGAATCTTCGAATGCAAAATTCTAAGCAAAAATTATAGTGTTTTGTCGTTTAAAACAGTTTTATTTTTAAACACCCTAAAATTTTAATGTAAAATTTTAAGTGATCGCGGCGCCGATTGCTTGAAATTTTTATGCGGCGCCGATCGCGGTCTGGGAGAGGCCGCGATTACAAAATACTGGCCCCCCAGATTTTTACTAATAAAATTACAATATACTGGCCCCCCAGATAAAAAAGCGCTACGATTCCTGGGTTTTCAAGAGTTTGAGAGAAAGGGTGAGGGTAAAGAGATGCTTTTATGTCCCTAAGCAACAGACGCCATGGAATTGCTTTTCAAACTGTAATTAAATGAACGATTGTTAATTTAACCAGCTAAGTGTCAATGGAAAATTATGTGCAGTAATGTCTTATTAATTTTGATACTTATGTAATATAATTGTGCATATATAATTGAAATAATGTATAATACTCTTTCATCAACATTAGTTTATGCATAATTTATAATTCGTTAGAACTTTCATTATTAAAAAGTATGAAGATAAAGAACTATAAAATAATCACAATTTTTTTTTAACATAACTAAATTATCATTGAGATTTAAAAAGTACATATAAAAGTCATTAATTTTATGTATTACTAGTGCTGTGTTTCTCATTTTCACTAGCAGTAGAAATACAATGAAGAGAATGGCAACTTAGCTCATTGTGGATCGCAAAATTGTCTTTTACTTTTGATGCATTTTCACACGAATGTTTTTCAAGCAAATCTGCTTCAGTCTTCTCGTATGAGCATCGATCAGGCAAATTCGCCTCAATTTCCTTGGTATAAATCTGATTATATGTGGTATCATTATGATTAATTCCATTATCATATTTAAAGTTATTAGAACAAACACTATTGATGGATGGCATTTGCACAACCTCATTATGAGTTTCTGGGTCGCTCAAGTTTGTTACAACTTCCATAGCTGAACGGCGAATACTATTATAAACTATAGTCTCGGACAAATTGTCAAAAACTGGTTCAGAAACATCTCGAGATTCTGAGCAATGACTAACAAGCGTATTTGTTGTCTGAGATTCTGAGCAATGACTAACAAGCGTATTTGTTGTCTGAGATTCTGAGCAATGACTAACAAGCGTACTTGTTGTCTGAGATTCAGGAGAGTTTTCTTCCAAATATATATTATTACTAACATTGTCCGATGTTGAACTTTCAAGCGGCGCATCCACCGAAACTGTCTCAACGTAAGTAGTGGCCTCAGAATTAGAAACTGTGCCTCTATGAAAATGGCGAATAAAATCACGTACAACATTAACAAATGGACGTTCAGCCGCATATATATATACACGTGTTGATCTATTTGCATTTGATACAACTTCTCCTAAACTGTTCACTTCGCCTGGATTTGTATTCATTTCCACATGAGGTGGGTTTTCTGGAGTAATTGTATCCCCGATAACAGTCTCAATACCGTCAACTATCATTTGCACGGCTTCTTCTAGATATGATTCTAACTCACCATTATTATCTTGGGACTCTTCGATCATGGGAAGCTCGTAATGATGAAAAAAGAAAAGCATCGAGTGCTGCAAAACAATCGCAACGAACCAATAAATATCACAAAATTATAAACATTAAATACTTTATAATTTTATTTAACATAATATGCCGAATATTATTGTAGATTAAACTAAAAAAAGTCAAGTGAAAAAGCGCTTAAACTTACATGACTAAACCATCATCAAAAATGTTATTCAAATTCAAAAGTAAACAGCAAGTTATAATTAATAACAATTAAAAAAGAATTACAAAAAAAAAAATACTTGTATCATAAACCAAGAGGCAGCAAGAGCAAGCATATCAAATTGCCCATTGAAACGATAATAGTATGCATAGAATACAAAATGGTACAAGTAAAAAAACCTAATAGAAAATATAAAAAAATCGGTCAAAATATCTTGCGCTCTAACTTTAATTTTTACATAAAAAAGTAAATTTAATCCAAAATTAAAATAATATAAAAAATAGGCCTGCAAAATTTAAAAAACATAAAACAAGCATGTATGTATATATGTATGTATGTATGTATGTATGTATGTATGTATGTATGTATGTATATACTCTTTCCTCAAATTTAATCCAAAATTAAATTAAAATAATGTAAAAAATAGGCCTGCAAAATTTAAAAAAAATTAAACTAGTATGCATGTATGTATGTATGTATGTATGTATGTATGTATGTATGTATGTACATACGTATATGTACGTATATGTATGTATGTATGTATGTATGTATGTATGTATGTATGTATGTATGTATGTATGTATGTATGTATGTATACTCTTTCATCAAATTTTCAGGTTTATGTTTTTATACGATTCTTAATCAGCATTAAGTTCTCTATCATAATCATAAAACGATAGAGTAGGGGTGAGAGTAGGAGTGAGGGTAGGAAAATAAAACAATGTCAACTGCAGTTTTAGTTGTTAAGCTCTTAAACTTCAGAGTAACTTTTTTTGAAAATATCAAACTAAAGTTCACAAGAATATGAATTTGGTATCGTTTTCATCTCAATGATCTTCTCAATGACTCTCAACTTTAAAGTATTTGCTGATGACGCATCAATATACTCCAATCATGATGTCATCACTTTTTGATTAATTAGAACAGGCGGCTGATCTTAAATGTGATCTCACTTCTGTGACAGCTTGGAGGTTGCAATAGCTGGTAAATTATAACCCAAACAAAGCTCAGTTGTTTACTGCTAATTATGGTAATATTGTTGATGTTCCTAATTATGATAATATATGCTAATTATGGTAATATTGCTGATGTTCCTATTTTGATAAACTTTTACTTAGTCCTTTACTTTATGCATTCTTAAATTATCTGATTCGATGGCGACCAAAAAATAATACAGATCGTGTATTAATACTAGATTTAAAGATATTTTTAACCAATTACATAAAATTAATAGTAAATAAAAATAATTTATAAATAAATTAATAATCTGGCTCATTTTAATCTCGGAACAAATAAACAGCATAAATATAACGTAATAATAATTTTTTTTGACCATTTTCCCCATCTTTGATAGACTCCAGACTCTTTGATAGACTAACCAGAACATTTTATGTATCAAACTCAATATGACACAGTCTACGTATTGGTCGTATAAAATTTTAATTTTTTCAACTCTCCAACTTTACCTTCAAATACTTCTGTAACTCTACCGAGTGGCTACTTTCCTAAGAGTGTACCTAAAGAAATTACTAATAAAATATAATTTGACCTTTTTCTTGAGCCCATTTATATCGTTTTTTGATAAAGAAGGAAGCCATTCTTGCATTCACATTGAAATGATATATTAACTCACCCAGAAATGACAAACGAATTGCTGGTAGAGCAATTTTTGCACATTCACAGTTACTTTTAATCAATGTATCCATCTGTTTATTCAGCCAGTTTTTTCCAATGTGAGAATTTATTTATTTATAGCAATTAATTTATGTCAGTACATTATGCAAAATTTGTCAATACAATATTCTTTTTGATATCAATCCTAGTTGAAGTTTAGAATTCCTCTAATTACTAAATCATATATATTAATTTTTGTTGGTATGTACGCCATAGTAGCATGAGTTCTTTGTAGTTCATACTAGCATGAGTTCTTTGTATAACTGAATTCCTGTCATTTCATCAAGTACAGAAACTATTTTATTATCCATGTAAGTTGCTTCAAGAACAGCTCTTGAAGCGTTTGTGTTCATACTTTCTTGCATGCTCTTGAATTACAAATTGTATCATGATAGGTAAAGAGTTGATGCCAAATAATAGTTGATTAAACTGGAACACATCAGGTTCTGTAGTTGGATTCAGATTTCTCCATAAAACCTGTTCATCATAAAATGAGTATCTTCGATCATTTTTATATATTTTGATTATTAAATACACTTCTGCTATATCACAAGAAAAACTGTCACAATGTCTTGTTGAAGTTTTGGAATTTGAAAGTGCGGTAAGTACTAACCATCACCTAGATTTTACTTATCAATTTTTTCCAAATATTATATTATCCCTTCACTTTCCCTTAATTTGTTTTATTATGTTGTTAGAATCTACTATTTCCTTTTTTCATGGTAGTAATTTCGAAAAGTAGGTTTGGTTTAGGTTCAATGTTTGGGAATTTTATGTTTCTAAGATATCTCCACCTTTTTGACATTTTTGCTGAATTAATTGCTTTTAAGTTTCCAGTTACAATATTCACTCTAAAAGCTTGCATTTTAATAGTCATTTTTCTATTCAATAACTTCAACTGGAATTCCACTGGCATTGTTCCAAGCAAATAAATTTTTCTGTTTATCATATTGACAGTTACCTTTTTTGTTTTACCTTGCAGTGACAACTCAGCAGCTACATCATAATTTAAATGGTGCTTTTATTATCAATGTGTTTATACCACATCTTTTTTTTTTTTTTTCATTGCAAAAAATTATCGAAACCCTTTGAAAAGATATGCAGTTCATGTTTTGAATGTGATGTTTAATGTATGAGTTTTTCTACTACCATGTTTTTTTCTTCTCCGAAGTTCTTTCAGTTTCAGTTTCAGTTAGTCTCTTCTTGTGAAGCGAACAATTGTGATTATATGTCCATCATTTCTACAAACTGTAAGTTTTTACATTCTTTTAAAAAGTGATCAAAATTCAAACATCTGAAACATCTGAGTTTATCTTTTTTTGTCTCCCATTTTTCTTTAACATTTTGATTTTTAAAGGTTGGGCAGTTCCATAATTTGATCGTTTTTGCAAACAGTACATTTCTTCACCCTATGTATTTTCTTTTTTTATCATTGTTACCAAAGTACAAATTTCCTTCAGGAGATTGATCAGTGTCTTTCTATGTTTCTATAGCTGATATTTGAAAACTCGCTTCATTAACTATAAACAATTTGAGAGATTCAACATTTTCTTTTAATCTGTTGTCATATACCCAACATTTATATCTTATTAAAATAATTTCTGGAACCATTTTTTGTAATTTAATATTTCACCACCTAATTCTTCAGTTCTTTTTGTTCTTCATTTTTTTTTGTTTCTTTTAAGTTTATTACTGCTACATCGAACAAGTTGGCAAATTTCTATATCTTTTGGTTGATTTTCCCTCATAGATAGTTTTAGTTGTTTCCATAGATCCACTTTTTACAGTCTTTTCATTAAAAATACTTGATTCATTTTTCATTGCTCCTTTTGCCATTATCATGTTCTTCTTCATTACATTCAGATTTATTTTTCGTTTTAACCATAGATAACATCTTCCATTACTAGGTTAACTTTTTGATCCACCCTATGTTATTTCAAACAAAAATTTTAAGTTCCATTGTGCAATATCCATCTATTCACATGTTCCATTGCTTCAGTAAATTTGTCATTTGTTTTTTCTAGTTCTTCATTGAGTTTTCCTAAATTTTCTTTATTTACTTTTTTACTTCGTATTTACTTCACAAATCAACCATTAAAGACATTTGATGGTTAAAATAAATTATTAATGGTACTTTTAAATTTAACTAAATTTAAAATAAACAAATAATGTTATAATTGAAGTTTTTAAGTAAAAATAAAAACTTTAAGTAAAATGAATGTTTTAATGAAAAGTTAAGAACTTTTTATGAAAACATAATGGAATTTTTATTAAAGTTTATATGCCTTTTTTTATATAGAAGAAGTTTAAAAAGTTTGAAAAAAAAATACTTTTTTGGATGTGGCAATTTAAAAAGTATAATTCTGTTGTCATGGAAAATTAATTTAATTTGTCACGGAAAATTAATTTAATTTGTCTGGGAAAATTAATCACGGTTTGTAAATTTGTGACCCTAATATCAATGAAATACCCTATGAAAACCCTTTTAAGGGGGGATAGTACATAACAATGGATGGCCATACAGAGTGATTTTGAAATCCTGCATTAACATCCAATGGAGATTTTTTACCTTGAAGTTTTAAAGAAAATAAGAATTTTAAGCAACATTTGACAGCCTATTTGTAGTACAAAAATACATTTCTGATTTTTTATCATAAAACAAAAAATGTTAAAAACATAAATTGGGAGCTTTTTTATTTTATTCATTTATTTTCTTAATGATCGCATTTAGAAGATAAACAACAATTTCTATAATTCCATTAAAAATTATAATGCTCTCTAGAGACGAATCATTTGGAACAAAATAAAGGCACTAAAATATCGCAAATCTGTTAAGAGTATTCTTAAGATTTTTTTAACACTGTTCTTTAGATCTAGATTTTCTTGCTGTTGTATTCGATCACACACTTCAGGAGTTGGCTGGCATAGTCTGGATGTGAGGAATCTCGTTTGTATCTCTCCCAATGAACTTTGAAATTGGAGTGCAGAGCTTCTGTTGCCTGCTCACTGAAGAGACCCAATCCTGTTTTCTTGATTTTGATGAACTGAGGTACATGGTAAAACACTGCATGTACTTTTGGAGTAACTGAAATGGGTAGGCGGATATAGCTTTGTTTGAACTTGGAGATCTTCGATTCATAATCAGGATCCAAATTATTGCCAAAGCAAGAAATGACCACATCCTTAAATAGTGCAAGTGTTTGCATGAAGTCATGAGCTTGACTAAAATTGTTGTATCCTGTGACCAATTGCAACTTGTCTAAACCTCTCAAGAGCTTCATGCAGTCATTCCCATTGAAATGTCCACCATGGTAGGGCTGAATAGGAATATGAAGTGAAGCTGGCCATTTCTCGGCCCCTGGCCAAATTTTGCAAAGATTTTTATACAAATGGTTTACTACTCCAAGTAACAAATAGAGCTCCATTGGAGGGATAGCTTCAAGCACAAGCTTGTGATCAGGAAAATCAACCAATGGTATGTGAATGACATTTTTGAACTCCTTTGATTTTCTTGTATCTCCTTCTGCGTTGATGAATTCAAAATGTTGTCTCCTAATCTCGTCAAAAGTTCGAGGACTTCCACAGTTTTGGAGGTTTAAAGACGAAACATCACACCAACAACATGGGTGTTTGCTGCTATGGGATTGAATGCCACACAGAATATTTGCCAACTTTAGGTCACATGATATGACCAGAGAATCCATCTGACATTTCTCTTGTACTTGGATGAGGTCAAAAATTGCCTTCACATTATGGTAGTTCTCTGGAGTGTTTTGTGCAATTGCTACCAGTAGTTGCTGCTTGACACTTGTTGATTTAGTTGTTTTTGGAGACATTAATTTGATTGTTTTCTGCAGTGGGCTATGTGGCGGTGTCTCACCTTCATCCACAATGATGTGTGTGAAGCTGACTTTCAAAAAAGATCCTCCACCATCAATCCCTAGTTTCAAAATTGCAGAATCTGTCATCTTTCTTGATGCTAAGAAGACATCACTAAGACTACTGAGGTTTTGACAATGCACAACTTGGGATATTTGATTGTTTTCAGCAAGAGTGATGCTGCTCACAGTGAAGTGATCACAAAGTTTTTGGCCTGCTTGAGCGAATTTTTGCTGAAAACTTGGCTTCACCAATCTGATAGGACTGATTTGATTTAGTGCCGATCCAAGTTTTCTCATCCCATTGTTTGAAAGTCCTATATTCTGCTGAATTTAACCATATTCTGCGTTGTGAGAGGCTCTTTGAAAAGTTGCTGTGCTGATGAAGGTCCTAATTATAAAAATTACATTTAAAAAATAGTTCATGACCTTCAAAAAATATTAATATTTTTCAAAAACTTAATTTAAAAATAAAATTTTCTCTGCAAATATATTTGCAGAGAAAATTTTATTTTTAAATTAAGTAAGTTTTTGAAAAATAAATAGATAATATTTATATTTTAATTTAATCATTTAAAGTTCAAAAGCACTATTACCTTTTCTCAATGGCAATAACTTTCCACAAGGTTGACTGAGTCTGATGGTGCCATGAGGAGATGCACTTTTTGATGCCAAAACTGTTGCTGCAACTTGCTCTGCACCAATGGGATCAGAGGCAGCCATTCTTCTCAAATTTTCATGGCGTGTTCCAGGAGTGCAGTAGTGAGGAAGCCCACGACCAATAACTGACAAGCACTTAGTACAATGCTTTTCTGCATTTTGCGAAGATTGTTGGGGAACTTTTGGTGCTGAATCTTGAACCTTGCTTAATGGATGCCTTTCTTTTCCCTTGAGTTTGGCAATCTTACAAATCAAGCACTCACAGACTGTAGAAAAACGAGTAAGAGGCTTGATCGAAATTGATTCAAAGTCATAAATCTGAGGCACAACATTTGTTTTACCATCACACAGCTTTCCAATGTGAGATCTGCAGGAGATGCAGGTCGCCAATGGTACTCTGTCATCATTGAAATTGATTTCTTTCTGAATTTGTTGAAGAATTTTAGCTTTGAAGTTTTCAGTCAATTCTTGATCATCTTTCTTCATACAGATACACAAACAGATTTTCTACATTCTTCATGGTTTTTGGCAAATGTAGGCATCTTTAAATTGTTAAATATCTGTTCACAAAAAAATATGTTTTCCTTCAAAAACTTAAAGTGTACTGCCTTTTCCCAGAATATATTTGTTTACTCTTTTCGTTAGTTTTGAAAGTTTGATTTTACGCTTGCACTGATCAAAACGCTCAATAAAGAATTATTTCAAAAAAAATGAATAAAATAATAAACATTTTACGTTTCATGAGCTACAATCTTTATTTTATAAAAAAAATTAAGGGAGCAAGTTTAGTACCATTAATAGGCAGCTTAATTTGGCTCATAAATCAACCCTTTTAAAAAACCTTCATGATCAAATAATTCTCTTTGATGTTAATCCCCGATTTCAAAACAACTCAATATAGACTCCCATTGGCATGTACTATCCCCCCTTAAAAGGGTTTTCATAGGGTATTTCATTGATATTAGGGTCCCAAATTTACAAACCGTGAATTTTATTTGTCACAGAAAATTAGTTGAATTTGTCACGGAAAATTAATTCGAGATTTTTTTTGAAATTTTGTCACGGAAAATTAATTCGAGATTTTTTTTCGAGAAAATATTTTGAGTTAAATTACTATTTAACTCTAAATATTTTAAATACTCAGTTTAGTATTATAAATATTCAGTTTACTGAAAATGAATGAACCATCACTTAAAGACAAATCCAACCCCTTTCAAATCCACCAAAGTTGTTTTTAGCAACCTTTAAAATTACTACATTAATAAAATTTAATAAAATATAACTTATAAATAATCAATTAAATCAGATTATTAATATATAGTTAAGTAAAATATTTCAAAATAATTTAATTTAAAATAAAGTAGTGAAACAGTAAAATAAAACTTTAGCTAGTAAAGAAACAGAAGATTTAAAATTTTTTATTTACATATAAGTAACATAAAAATTGAAACAATACCGAAGCCAGTATTTTTGTGAAATGACTGTATGACAACAAATTGTATCAAACTGGTCAACAGTCCAAACCATTAATATAATATAAAAAGTTATGGATGTATCATGGAAGAACTCTGCCATTATAGTTTCTAATCCTATCATGTGAATAAATAAAATCAATTAGAAAAAAAATTAGCAATTTATTTAAACAGAAATAAATATTTTATATGAAGAACAATAAGTTAATAAAGTTTAAATAAACTATAAGATTTAAAACACCTACCCACAAGTGATAAAATAACAGCCATAAGAGGTGCTAAAGGAAATATTATTAGAGCATTCATGTTCATCACTTGTAGCATGTTCACTATAATCAATAAGAAAAACTCATATTAAATTACTTTAAACAGTTTTTTAAAAAGTAAATAAAATAAAATAATTGCAGTAACAGTATAAAGATGCAGCAACTCTGTAATGCCCTTTATAAGGAAGAAGTGTTGGACTCCCACCAACTTGTTCTTGGTAGTACAAAACTCAACTTGTTTCTCCCTACAATAGGCCGGGTGAATAAAAAAAAGCAATTGTTTTTACTCAGCGTTTTTGTAGTAATTGCTTAAGTTTACGTGAATAAAAATTTAGAGCAATTACTCTTTTTTCCTCAAAAGCTTTTACTCATGAGCTTTTGCTTATTTAACGATTTATATTTAGCGATTGCTCACATATCAGAAAAGTGTGTGAATAAAAAAGCTACAACTCAAAAAACGGCGAGCAATTGCTTCTAATTTTACGAGCACCTATAATAATTGCTTTTTTTTTTTTTTTTTTTGATAATTGGACATTTTATTATTTTACTAATATATTTTACTATTTTTTGACTATATATATATATATATATATATATATATATATATATATATATATATATATATATATATATATATATATATATATATATATATATATATATATGTATGTATATATATAACTTTTACGTTTTTATTTTAACGTTATGCATTTAGTTATAATTATACTAGCACGTTTTTGACACAATTATTTTTTTGGAATACAATTTTGGCAAAGTTTGTGTGTATTTAATTGGTATGTGGTGTAGTGGTAGAGCGCTCGCTTCATAAACGAGTGGTTCCGAGTTCGATCCCCACCACGTCCCTGGTAGTACCGCGCTCAACTCGTTTCTCCGCGCAGCGGCCTTGTTCGTCAAGGTTCGTGTTTCGGAGTTATAGAGTTGAGAGAGGGTTATAGCCACAAAATAAGTAGCCTCCTCGTTTGTAGTGGCCTTCTCGGCCTTGAGGAGGTGAAGTAAAATAAAAAAAAAAAAATATATATATTTTTTGTATACGTTGAGTATTATAATTAAATAAAAAAACTAATGCAAGCCTAATGCAGCCTAATGTCGACGAATGGAGTGCGCGTTTACAATTAAAGAGTAGTTAAAGAGTACTTGCAAATTTATCACGCTTGATAAATTGTATATAATACATTTGCATAATGTAATCGATTATACAATCAAGGTATTAGATATAGTGAACAGTAATTAACAAACATAATAATAAAACATATTAGCTGCATTAAAAATACATCTTAAAATACATCTTTAAATGGCCCAAATGTTTCCAGAGCGAAAAACTAAATCCTATATTACTCGAAAGGCACCACCAACAGCTTCAAACGAATACCATAAATTATTTCGATTTACGGATGATAACGTTACGTGGATGGCAAAACACTTTTTGGATGTAAGTGATGAAACTCGGGGAGGATCACTAACAACCAAGCAAAGAATGGAAGTTACACTATGTTATCTAGCAAACCCTGGCTTCCAAACTGAAATTTCAAACGAAACTGGGATTCATCGCAGTACTGTTTCAAAAACTGTTGCTTTGACACTTCAAAAAGTTTTGACTAAGGCTTCTCAGTGGATAGTTTTCCCACATACGGAAGAACAAATTTTAAGAGCAAAACTGGCATGGGCAAACGAAAGAGGCTTTTCCAGTACAATAGGAGCTATTGATTGCACCCAAATAAGAATCGATAAACCCTATGGAGAATTTGGTGATGAGTTTATTAATAGAAAAGGCTTTGCTTCAATCAATGTACAAGTTAGTAAAATTATAAACTATTCCTCTTTCTACATTTATATATATATATATATATATATATATATATATATATATATATATATATATATATATATATATATATATATATATATATATATATATATATATATATATATATATATATATATATAGAAAAATATTTACTTATATTTCTCAATGGTTCTTTTTTCAATAAATTTTTTTATATATAGGCAACTGTAAATGAAAATGTTAATTTTTTTTTTCCTGATAAATAAATCGAGAGTAATTTTTGTACCACTACTTTAATGTAATGTAACTGTGGTGTAAT